TGTCGTCTGCATAGGCACAAATCATTATTTCTTTGTTAAAAATTGTTCCTCCCTGACAGAACTCTCCTATAACAGATTGCAACATCAAATTGAATAATAAAGCCGACAGAGCATCCCCTTGCTTTACACCAGAATATATATCAAAGGGGTCCGACAGTTGGCCTTGTACCATTACCTTGCCTTTTGTGTTACGTAAGGTCATATTTATAATTCTACCTAATTTCCTAGGTATACCCAACTTCAATAAAGCTCTTTCTATTGTTGATCTGTCTAGACTGTCGAAAGCTTGTTTAAAATCAATAAATAAACAATGAATATCCATAGAATACTCATGTGCCTTCTCGAAAATTTGGCTTAAAATAAAACACTGGTCCGATGTGGATCTGTCTTTTCGAAAGCCCGCCTGATAATCTCCAACGATTTCTTCCGAAAAACTACTAACCCTTTGATACACAATATTTGTAAAAATCTTATAACCTATATTCAGTAGTGATATTCCCCGATAATTGTTGCAATCAGTTTTGTCCCCCTTTTTGTGAATCGGAAATATGATACTATCCATTTTGTTGAAATTGTTTTATACTTTTATTAAAACTTTTTATTATGTGGTAAATTATAATTCTAATATACAGTTTAATGAAATATATTTTGTCGGACTTCTCACAACATTCATAGTTGAAATTATTTTTTAAGTGTTCATATATTTTACATTTTAAATTTTTTCTGTAGAAATATCATTAAAAAGTTTAATAAAAGTATTTTCTAAAAACCTTTAAATTATCCATGAAATTCTGGGATGGTTTATAAAAAACTGTAAAATATTTTTTTTTTTCACAACTATTTAAATTTTTTTTAATATTATACGTCTTTTTAAAATTTATTTTTATTGTTTTTCAAAATTATATTATATAAATTATAATAATTTTTTTTAAACACTTTTTTTCTTCTTCCCTTTTATAATATAATACACATTTTTTGCCACCTTGTACTGGAATATTTTTTAATTTTTAATATTTAATTTTTTAATATTTTTTCCTATACTTTATATAGGAAAAAATAAATAACTCCCGCTTTTAAAAATACATTATAAAAAAACAGGTAGACATCTATCGTGTACTCTTTCCCTTTCCCAAAAATTCTTATGAGCATTAGTGTGATGTAAACGGAGAGTTGAACTATTTATTAGTAGATATACTTTGTTCATAATAATAATATATATAAATTTATGGGAAATTAAAAAAAAACTTCAATTTAAAATATCTAATTTTAATTATATGATTAATTAAAAAATAATAATTTATAAACTACAATTATATAAACCATGTATAGTACAACATGTCCAAGATTTAATTTGTAGTTTTGTAGTTTGATCGTTTACACATCTAGCAAAATTCGACGATGAGATTTGACAACAATGAAATTGGATGTGAAGCTCTGTTTACACCTTTTTCTTACATTATTTCAATGAAATCTCATGTCAAATTTAATTTCTTTTATCCACATCGAAGTATATCCATGGTATATAGCAAAATGAGAGTGATTTTTTGAAAAATGAAATTAAGTGAAAAATAAATAATTTCAAATCAAAGGAAAAATAAATAATTAGTAAGCAAAGGAAAAATAATATAAATTGACATAAAACTGAATAAGTTAAAATTAAAAACCTTTAGTTTTCATCAAATTTATTTCTACTCATATCAATTTTTATAATCTTTTGATTTTATATTTCACAACCATTTTCAACACTCCGAACTATATAAAATAACTTTAAAAATACAAACTTCACAACAATCAGCTGATCACTAGCGCAGTGATAACGAGTAAAATTTATCCTCGCCATTTAGTTTTTTTTATTTCTGTCTAAAAGAATCAAATTCTTTCAGAAGAATTAAACAAGACTCTATTTTTCTAATACGCTTTTAATTAATTTGATTGGACGTTTACACATAAGATTTTCATTAAATTTCCATCCAATAAACAAAAGCGTCAAACTTTGCTTGATGTGTAAACAATGTCTAAGTGATTATAAGATTTTTGTCTTTTTTAATCCAAAAATTTTTGAGCAGATCCACATTTTTTTGTTGTTTTTTTTTGCATTTTTTTTTTAATTTGTTTGATGACTGATAAGGTTTATTTAAGATGTTTGTATACACTCAGTGTCGGTTCTGACTTGTTTGGCTCCCTGTGCGGTTTCAAATAGTGCGCTCTTCCATAGAATAAAGCTTTCAGTTTTTTGCCTTGCAATGTTTGTGTATATGTACATAAATACATGTTATTATGTTAATTGCGGTGATTTTCTATAATTGAATTATTTTTCAATGAATGAATTAAGTAAGTTTTCAATGGAGCCTTTGTTTTTTGGGCCCGCAGTGCAATTGTTTACTTTGCATATATAGATCCGCTGCTACATACACTTCTACAACTTTTATAATGCCCTTAATACGCTGAATTAATATAATAAATAACTGAATAAATGGTGTGCCATTTTCACATCAAAATTATTTAAATGACATGTTAGATCTGTCTGGGATAAAATTTGAAAAAAACTTGTAAAAGAGAAACAATGACGAAATTTCTCGGAAAAAGAAAAACAATTCTTATTAAAAAAAAATAAACCAGGCGGAAAGCTTGAAAAAACCTTATAATTATTGGATAAACGTCAAATTTCAAAGTATATATTTATTAAATATAAACTAATATTTTTTAATTATACCAAAACTTGAAAATTTTGATTAAGGATTACAAAATTGTGAAACTTGGAAAAAACCATTTGTGAACCCATTTTGGTTTTTTTATTTAATTTTTAATTGAAAAGTTTTATTGTTAATGAAAATTTTTTTTTTTTTAAATAAAACCTTCTAACATAGCCAAAAAACATGTGTTTCGACAACTGTAAGATTTTTAAAAGCTTTTAAAACAGTACATTTTTACTAATGTCTTTATATAATGTCTTTATATCTAACAATCATAATACTCAATTTTTTTTACGAAATATTACGAATTTTTGGCTTCGTTGCTGGTTTTTTCTTTAAATGCCACTGATCGTGTCATATTTTTTATTATTTTTTTCTTTTTTTTTTACGTAAAAATGAGTTTAATATTTTAAAAAATCTCAGGATTAATGTCTTTATATCTAACAAGTCCCAATACTCAATTTTTTTTACGAAATATTACGAATTTTTGGCTTCGTTGCTGGTTTTTTCTTTAAATGCCACTGATCGTGTCATATTTTTTATTATTTTTTTCTTTTTTTTAAGTAAAAAAGAGTTTAATATTTTAAAAAATCTCAGGATATTATACACATTTTTTAAAAAGCTTCCCATTTAAATTCTATTGCACGAAAAAGAAAGAAAGGTAGGAGGAAAGAAAAAATGAAAAAAAATTTCAAATTCATATTTCAGTATGGTTTCAAATGTTAATGAGGAAGGATGTATGATTTTTTATGCACATTTTGTATTTCCCAATAAGGTAAGTTGCGTAGTGTCGGCTAACAAAAATGTTATTAAAAGTAATATATGTAGGTTGACACATTTCAACAATTTGAATTATCTCATTTGGGTTATTTATACGTTACTTATAAAATTGTTTCAAATAATTTCAGTGAGTTTTTAAGTTATTAAAAATAAATATGTATGTACCTACTTCCAATAAATTTTTTTTTAAATAATTATTTTAAAACTATTTCAAACATGTTGATATTGAGTGCTTCAGAAATTTTGCTGTGCTCTTTTTTCATATTTTATTAGCAGGTAAACAAGAGCAATCTATTTATAAAATGTCCCTGCATGTGTATGTATGACCTATCATAATTCTAAACGGAAAGAATATTACATAAAGAACAAAAATTTTAAAATACCTGGTATTTTACAGTCGGAATTTTTGAGTCATTTGGTAAAATACCATTTATTATTTTTTTATTTTTAACAAAATAAAAAAATATTCAAATCCGGTCATAAAAATATATGATTGTTTTTTCCAAACATTTTAAATATTTTTTTTTCTTAGGTAATTGATATAAATGATAGTAAGTTTTTAATATTTTTTCAAATAAAAATAGAGGTAAAATTTTGAAGTTTATATAAAATTTGTATTTAACAAATAATATTTGATTGTATTTTAGATATTATTTTCTAATTCCCTCTTCAAATTTTTTCTTTACTATGTATTTATATCAATATTTAAGAATTATCTTTCATTAATTATATTTTCAACTTGACACCACAGGTACTTCCCATATCTTGCGTTAACTTACCCTATGAGAAAAAAAAGCTGTTCACTTAAAAATAATGAAATGCTATCAGTAACATATAAAACGTTGAAGGCGAAGGATGTGCTTGTTGTTTTTCCGCTTTTTTTTAAATTTTAAAATAATTATCAATGAAAATATTAATATATTTTTTTGATTTTTCAAATAAATTTTCTAAATTTTACCTGCTTTGTAATAAGTGTGAATTTATTTTAATATTTCTTCTCAAAAAATAGCCACTTCGATTTAAAAAAACCCATATCGGACTTGTTAGATATAAAGACATTATGTTAGATATAAAGACATTATTTTTACAAATTTTGAAAAAAACTTTAAGCATAGAGAAATTGAGAATGTCATCATTTTCTCTCATTTTTGTTTAAAAAGTGTTATCCTAGATGCTTTGCATACAAAAACTTTAGTTTTTAAAAGTTTTAAAATGCTTTCTTATACCAGACAGACCTAATATGACAAGCAAACATATTTTTAAAATGAAATTTTTAATTTTTCAAACTAAAAACTTAAGATTTTTTCTGATTCTGGAAAATTTATAATTTTGGAATATTAACACAATATTACTAAAACTAAAAATTATAAGAGCATTAAAATCTACCAGTTTTGGATAATCACACCAGGTTTGCCCACCCAGTTCACAAGGAAAATATCGATAAAAACATAATTGCAAAAAAATAATATATTTATCACTCTTTTTCCAACGAAATGCAGATTGAAGCAATGGAATATCATTCTCTTACGAAGTAACGTGAAAACAACGAATGATTATAAATTATTTTTCTTGACATCTTAAAATACTTACAAATATAAATACAATGGTGCAAAATGAAGCAACCTCGCAACGCGATCACTAATTATTGATAAGTTCTTGTGATAACAGAAATATGTAGCCGCGTGTATTTTAATATCTTGAATCAAATAACTTTTTTGTTTAGTATAAATCTGTTTACATTTAACTTTTATTTGTTTCTATTTAAAAAAACGACATTTTATGTATTGTGCTATTTAAAATTTGTTTTTGAAATTGTTTCAAAAAACAAATATACAACGAAGATGGAGGAATGCTCAATAATTATTTGCAATAAAGAAAAGGATGAGTGTTGCATTGTTTGCTTGAGGCATTGTTATTTAACCCAAATGACACATATATTTGAAAAAAGTCAAAAATTACAAATAATAATATCTGATTTACTAGAATTATGCGGTGGATTTAAGGTAAGTACATACATACATACGTCCGATCATTCAAGATGTAGAAAAATATATTGTATCTGTGTATGGTACTGTGTATATAAAGTAACTATGTATGGTACATTATATAAATGTGATGATAAGGTATAACTAAAAGTGTTAATTTCAAACTCATGAAAACAAAAACAAAGTCACATAATTATATTGCTTAAAGTTGAATAACCTGGAAAAAAAGCAATTTAAGAACAATTTGTTTTTTTTTGCATTTCAGTTGAACACTTTGCATAATTAGTATAAATAATTCAAATTGTGCATTTGTCTATTACTTAATACATATTTAATTTTCTAAGATTGCCAAATTTGAAATAAACTTTTTTTTATTACAATGTGCATAATTTGTTAAATACACTTGTGTATTCGAATGAACTTTAATAATCCTTTGGTATTAGTATGAAAGTCATACACATCTATGAAAAAAGTAAAATGCACCTACATGTGTACACACATGTAATAAAAATTAATGCCAAAATCCGTTTGCTTTTAAAAGCAAAGCAAGTAACAATTTTAAAATAATGTAGCTAAAAAAACGTACATATTTATACATATACATATCTAAACCATATATACATATATAACTCTGAACTTTTTTATTTTCAGATAGAAAAATATTATCGGTTTCCTAAAGGAATATGTTCAAGTAATTCATTAAATTAAACAAATGTAGTGTAAGAACCGTTTAATATTTTTAAATAATTTTAGAATGTTTACAAGAGTTGCACATTGCAGCTGCATTTCGAGACAAATGTCAAGCTTCTATAGAGTTTCTCATGGATCAAGTTATTGAAGGAAATAATAGTAATTTTGTTGCTGCAAACGATAATGAAAAAGTTCCCGAAAATCTGAATCAAATGAAGGATGGTAAGAATTTCATTAAATTTACTCAGGCAAACATTGACCATAAAGTGCAATTAATTGAAGATGTTAAAGACAAAATCAAATCAGAAGACTCTAGAGCTATTGGGAAATCAAATCCAATAAATAACGACTTATTTCAATTTTATAATAAAGATGACCTGAATCTTGAGAAATTTTATGACAGTTTTGATGAAACGTTATATAAGGCTAAAGCAGGATTTATATATCAATATTCCTGCGATATATGCGGGTCAGCTTTTAAAACAGTACTTAATCTTAGAAAGCATTATAAAAAACACACCAGTACATGGTTTACATGCATCATATGTTGGCATCCTTTTACCAATAAAGTTAATTTAAAAAATCATTTTATTCAACGTCATAAGGGTGAAAATATGTCGGCTCATATAGAATTTGCTGATTTAAAGAGTGAAAGTGAAACTTCTGAACATTTTTTTGACGAGACTTTAGAAAAAAATGGCAATTTTATATGTAAAAAATGTAATGAAATCTTCCAATCTAGAGAATACTTAAAAAGACATTTACTTTCACATACAAATACTTATAAATGTAATAAGTGTGGGAAGTTATTTTCATCTTCATCCAAATTATGGCAACATCTTAAGTTGTAATTAAAATTTAAAATAAAATTTTTAAAATAAAATATTTTTGCACATATATAAAATTTTTTCCAGGCATAACAGCATACGCCCCTTTGGATGTAAATATTGCGACATGACTTTTAAAAATAAGAGTAATTTGAACGTTCATGTAGGGAAACATGCTGGATTAAAACCACATAAATGTGCACTATGTGAAAAAAGGTGAACAATAAAAAGTTAAACTTACATCAATTTTAATTTTTATTAAATTTATAGTTTTAGCCGAACAAATTTACTTAAGGAACATTTGCGTTCTCACACCGGCGAGAAACCGTTTTCTTGTGAAATTTGTTGCAAAGCCTTTTCCAAAAAGAGAATTTATGTTAACCACAAAATGATTCATTCAGGTATTTTTTCTTTTATATGTACATAACATGTAAACTTGCTTTACTACTTACTAGAGTACATTAATCCCAGAATATTTTAATACAATTTAAAATTTTTTAGATAATAAGTTTTGTTGTTCATTTTGCCCACAAAAATTTGTCAGAGAAAGTCAGTTGAATTTTCACGTTAAAAATTATCATAAAGACTTACTACATAGCACGACCATTTTTTAAAATCACTTTTGAAATAAAAATTTTTTATATCTGCATTTAATTAAAATTTAACTTAAAACACAATTTTTTTAATTTAAAATGAAAGGTAAAGTTTAATAAGGATATTGACCAGGACCTTGCGGGTGTATGTGGGTAGAAGTGGAGGGTTGTGCGTGAAGCTGATAAACATATTGTTGTGTTTGAGGATGTTGAATAATTTGCTGATGTGGAACTTGTGGAGAATTTTGTTGCTGCTGCTGTGACGGCTGCGATGAATAAACTTGTTGTTGTACCGCTATGGACGAAAGAGTTTGTGACGTGGATTGAATTGCTTGGGAAACCACAGGTGGAAGATCTGTAGGTTCGCCGGACAACCAATTAATTAGAGAATGTTGTTGCAATGTAACACATTTTCTTTGGTCAGCTATTAAATTGTCGGAGTACTTAACATGATTTGCATAAGCATCTTTTTCGTGTTGAATATCTTTCGACATTCTGTGTAAGTCTTTTAATATAGCACTTCCCCACAATTGAACATGTATATCAGGGATTTTTGATGCTAATTGCATAGCCGGGGTTACCATATTCATACTCTCTTTAGAATTTCCTATAGAGAGAAAAACGTGGCTAAGTAAAACTAGAGAACATGATGTTAGACGATTTAAATCTTCTGCATTCGCCATTTTAAGAGTTTCTCTTAAATATCGCTTAGCTTCATGAAAACTGCTTTTATGGAAGGAGTTTAATCCTTGCACGTAATAAAATCCACCCATTAGTGCTTGACTATTTAAATTTTGAGAATTTTCGGCAGAAATATTGTCAATAATTTGTTTTAAGTCTTGCTCTCTTTTTGTCCTTAAATAAATGATCGCCATATTTAAATTTGCAAACAATTTCAGATCACGTTCTTGAGTTTCACATATGCAAGTCATAAATTGCTTTTCAGCGCAATCGAACAAACTCATAGACATACAATATAAGCCGATCAAACAGTGCAATTGGGCTGAGTGCCTTTTAAGCAAATTTTCATTAGAAGCTAAACAAACATCTTTTGCAGCTGCAATTTCAGTTATTGCTAATTCTCTATTTCCCATTACTAATCTGCACATTACAATATGTTCCAGAAGAATAATTTTAAATACTGAAAGTATTGGCTTATCATCTTGTTGTTTTAGTTTTTCAATTTGTGTTAAAGCTTTTTCTGTATATTTTTGAGCTTTATCCATGTAACCTGCCATCATCGAATGCGAAACCGTTACTAAGTAAACTAAAACATACAATTGTTCTTTGGGGAGCCAAGTAAACATATCTAAAGAGGTTTGTCCAAAAATAACTGCAAAAATAAAAAATTTATGTAATAATTTCAGAAGAAAAGAAATCTACCTTCATCCGCAGGCCAATTTGGTGCCATTATTGTCTGTATGCTCATTTGCAATTGCTTTAAACTAGGTTTAACAGTTTTGACTTGTCCTAATGCCAGGTAATAACAAACTTGCAACACTAAAAAGAATACTTTTAAGTACTCTTTTTGATGAATATTATTAATGTTATTGTCAATAATTGATCCCGCTTGATTCAACAAATTTAACACATCGTTGGTTTTACGTTCTATCATCAAAATCATTGCACGACTCAACAAAAATAAAACTTTTAAATAAATTGCATTTGCTTCGTCAGCTGATTCCGCACCGACCGATAATAATTCAGATGCTAAGCTATATTCTTTATCACGCGCATGAAGTTGTGAAAGTTGGAATAATAGTTTACAGTGCCAAAAAACATTGTTTTGTGATACTTCGATAGCTTTTCGAAGAATAGCTTTCGATAAATTTCTTTGATCGATTTGAAGATACAATTGAGCTAACAAACTAGCGGTATCAAACTTAACATCATCAAAGTTATTTATAGTTTCACATAATTTCCAAGCCTTCTCCAAATGATTTTTAGCTAAATCAACATTCAGCGTGTAAGCCATCAAAATTTGGCCCATTTGAAGATGAGTACGGGCTTCGACCTGTAAGTTAGTATTTAAAGTTATTAAAACTTTTGAAATAAGAATTTCCTCACTTTAGACGGGGGATTGAAAGTAAATAAAGCCTGCAGACATTGAATACATTTTTTCACATTTGGCGGATTTGCAGTTCGAAAATATTCTGCCAGTCCCAATAATGATACGTAACAATTATCTTGACTTACAGTTGATGATGCCGCCATAGAAAATTTCCAGTTTGGATATATTTTTATTTTTCTAATTCCCTACTATAAGTGACAGCTTCTAAAATTTTAATTACATTTCTCGAAGACAACGTTGCCATATGTAATGCTTTTTTCTTGTATATCATCAACATTTTTCAAAAAGTACTAAAAACTTGGCACAATAATCAACGTGCAAATCAAACATAAACCTAAATGACAAAATTATCAAATGCCCTGTCATATATTTTTACGATAAAGAAAATGTCAATAGTGTTGGTATGAAATATTACTTAGTGCGACCCTAGTGGCGGATATGTAAAGCCCAATAGTAAAATGAAATGAAATTAGTGAGCTACCAATTTTACTTTTACCCAGCATTTACACATACAAGTTACTTGCAAGCAAGTTTGTATAATATTAATTGTCAATTAGTTTTTCGAAATGTCAAATTACTTGCTATTATGACGTAGGCGTTTAGCAAGTTAATTTTTGAAAATGTCTTTGAGAAGAAAACAACTAGCAATAATAATTGTTTATAAATTTTAGAAACCATAAGTTTGCTAAGTTTAATTTTTTCGAAACAAAATTCAAAAATTTTAAATTAAAAAAAAAAAAAAAATCAAAACAACAAATTTTTTTTTGTGAATTTCTGAATATGTCAAATTACTTGCTCAAATTACTGGCAGCAAAATTTTCTTGCAAGTTGAACTGCAAGTAAACAAGCAAGTAGACATATTTCAATGTGTTAGTAAAATTTTTGTATGTATTGCAACTTTCTTGCAAGTAACTTGTACGTGTAAATGCTGGGTTAGCTTTATTATATCTTATTTATAATTTTAATATAAGTGAGGTTTTAAAATAAAATAATAAAAGAGTACATTGCACAAAAAACATTCACGTTTATTTATGTGCTCATCCTTTCCTATACTGCTCTAAAAGTTGTACTTAAAATACAAAATCTTCAATTATTACATAACTTCAATTCAATTATTACATAAATAAAACAATAAAATCATTCGAAATTACTTTTTTTCTTAATACATATGTTAATTATAAATTACAGGTAACAGGTATGAATAGTAAAGTAAGTATGTTAAGCGACTTTTATAAAGTTTTTGCAATATATCAGACGTTTTTCATACAAATCACAATATGAAAGAAAAAACTGTATACACACTATCATAGTATGCCATTTTTTCTCTTACTTTCAAGAAGGTCAAATTGCACATTTTTCGTGTATTTTACTTGAGCCGCATCCGGACTAAGTGTAGGTGACTCGCCATTTTACCATTTTTTCGCAAAATTTCAACACTGTAAATTGAACAATTTTCAAGATATAGCCAAATAACTTTTGAAATTGGGTTGTATTGCGCAATACAGCTGTTGGGTTTCCTGTTATAGGTGAGATATGGCGTTGAGTAGCCTAGCATAAGCTACTCAACACCATATCTCACCTATAAGTGGTTCCTCCTGTTACGCTCCCTCCTCCAACCCAGGTGGTGTAATTCGGGTCCGCTAGCAAACGAGTTTGGTGGTTAAGCAGAGATAGCATCAATCTGTTCCAATAGTTGGCAGCTTCGGGGGGGCGTCTGTCTTGCAGCAAGCGGCTTGCTTTATGAATGTGCATTCAGATTCATTTATATATTTAAAACATGCAATGTTGAAAACAAAAGGATTTATTACCCCAGGTGGCAGACCAGCGATTTTGGAAAATCCACTCTCTTCGAAGATCGGTCCCATGGATTCTGGGGGGTTTCAAACATTGCTTTCCCGTAGGAGTACATTAACACCGAGAACTCCACATAAAATATTATCGAACGGTACACCCTCCGCAAGTTACAAACGTTTATCGGAGTCAGCCAGAAACACAACACACAAGGCTGAAAAGAAGATTAATGCAACTAGTTCTTCAATAACCAACTTGGATCCCGGGTATTCAGAAAAGTCCAGAGCTTTAGAAGAGGAAAATGAAAAACTTCGTCAGAAGATGTCAATGGAAGAAATACTATCTACCATAAGGAAAGAAATCAACGAAATGAAGGCTGAAAAGGCAGCCCTGAAATCCCAATTCAAAGAAGCAAAAAACAAGCAACCTGTCGTTCCGTCAAGAGTAGTGAGCTCAATTGAGAAATTCTATTTTACTCAGGGATGGATCCGATGACTACACGTAGAGATAAGAGACCTTGTAAGAAGAGAAAAACGAAATCATCGCCAGAAGTGAACACAACCCAGCAGACAGCAGTAAATAATCAGCCAGACATGTCCAAATTAGTATTAAACACCGAAAATTACATCAACACCAATCAACAATGCACAGGCCACCTCCCATTAATATTGTGGGAATAGTCGGCTATTCTAAGCTGTGTAAAGTGTTAAACGCTGTTATCACAAACTATAGGATAACTGCATTGGGTAACAACGTGTTTAAAGTAAACACTGAAAGTCCGTCCAGTTACCGCAGCTTAGTCAAAAAGCTAGTGGAAGACAAGAATCAGTTGTTTGCCTATGAAGACAAGAACGATAAACCGATAAAAGTTATGACCAGAGGATAACATTGGTAATGCCAAAAAGCCGACATAATCAACGATCTCCAACAGCAAGGCTTCAAAATAAAAGATACCACCAATATAATGAAAAAAGAAAGCACAGAAAATTATAGAGGAGACATCGTCGTCCACAACAAAAACTTATCCATGTTTATGCTAACGTTTGATAAGAATTAAAGTACAGAAAAAATATATAACATCAAATCTATTCTAAATCTAAGAGTGAAAATTGAACCAGTGAGGAAAAAATCAAAAGCTATACCACAGTGTACAAGATGCGGTGCAAATCATTACACTTCTGCTTGCAATAAAAGTCGAAACGTTCTTCCAAAATGTTCTAACTGTAATGCAGCTCACCCTGCCCATTATAGGGGATGCGAAGTTGCGAGGGAACTTCAAGGTAGAAGGAACATGGCAATAAGTGCACGGCACAAAACTACAGCTCTTTCAAGAGTTTCATTGGTGTTCCATTCCCTTTGGCACTCAAAATAATTGAGAGAAAGGCAGTTCCAATGGTAAAATCAAAGAAAAAGACTTACGCTCAAGTTGCTGCAAAACCTACAGTAGACGAAATTCTAGAGCTTATACTAAAAAAACTTGACGATCAAAAAATTGCTGAAAAACAATTCAATGATGGATTGACCAGACTAGAAAATAAAATAAATACAGGACTAAATAAAAGATGAGACAAACTCTTAGAATTATGACATGGAATGCTGATGGTCTTTCGCAACATATGAAGGAACTTGAAATCTTTCTCAACAAAGAAAAAATTGACGCTTGCTTGGTTACAGGAACCCATTTTTCCAAAGAAATAACCTAAAAATTAATGGTTAATAAGCTAAAGGCGATTTTTATCAAAAGTAATATTAAGTATCAAGGACAGGTGTTGAAAAACAAACGATTCAAATTGCTTTGATCAAAGTCAACTTTAAAATAAGGAATTAGTGATTGCTTCCATTTACTGTCCTCCACGTTAAAATTTAAAAATGGCTGATTATAAATCAATGCTTGATCATATGGGTAAAGACTTCCTGATCAGTGTCAACTTCAATGCAAAAAATACTTTCTGGGGGTCGGCTCCGAAAGGTAGAGCTCTTTACGAAGCAGCAGCTGAAATCGGTTGTAATTTTCAGTCCACCAGAAAGCCAATTTATTGGCCAACAGACAGAGACCTATTGGACTTTTTTATAACTAGAGGAATTTCTGACAATTATATATATATAACCGAAAGTTACGATTTAAACTCTGACCACTCTCCAGTTATATAAAGTATGCACGCAAAGTATGGCAAATTTGGCGGTTTACACAAGATAAAACGCGTGTGAATCAACTGGGGAATAAACTAAAGAAACTTCTAAAAGAGATAAAACATGCATCTATAGCCAACTATTTAGATAACATATCAGCTGACAAGGACCACAATTACTCCTTGTGGAAAGCTGTTAAAAATATTAAGAAACCTAAGTATCAAGTTCCCTCTATTAGAAAGGAACAACTTTGCAGATTATCTCGAGAGTATCTTTTTACCACTCGCAAGATAAACCTCAGAAGAAAATTTAACTTCGGCGAACAGAATTGACGCTCTACGAGTTCCGAAAATAAAATGATTGAACTCAAAGCTGAAATCAAACTCTTAAAAAATAACAAGGCCCCAGGTTACAAGTTGATAACACCTAAAATAATGAAAAAGCTGCCAGAAAATACAGTGAGAAAGCTGCTTTTTCTGTTTAATGCGTCGCTGAGGCTTAATCATGTTCCAGCTCAGTGGAAAGTCGCAGAACTCATCATGATACCCGAGCCTGGAAAACCTGCCCATGAGATGAAGTCGTATAGACCTATATCACTCCTACCGGTGTTGTCGAAGCTGTTTGAAAGGGTTTTATTGAATCGCCTGAAACCAATAATAGAAAATAGAGGTCTCATCCCCGACCATCAGTTTGGGTTTCGGTCTAGACATTCCACTATCGACCAAGTACACAAGCTAACGAACGTCATTGAAAATGTGCTTGAAAACAAAGAATATTGCTTAGCTGTCTTCTTGGGCGTAGCCCAGGCGTTCGACAGGATTTGGCAAAAGGGCCTCAACTTCAAAATAAAGGAGTTTCTGCCGAAGCCATTTCCAAAAATATTCTAGTGCTAAAATTTGAGGAAGAGTACTCCATTTTTAAAAATTTGAGGGCCGGTGTGCCTCAGGGAAGTGTGCTGGGACCTCTTTTATACTTGCTTTACACCAGAGATATCCCGCAAAGCGAAGAAACTTTCTTAGCAACTTTTGCAGACAATACGGCAATATTAGCCGACTGGTACAACTGTTGAAGAAACTACGAATAAATTGCAAGTCTCATTGAACGAAGTGTCTACTTGGACGAGAAAGTGGAGGTTCAAACTCAACGAAGCTAAATCAGTACACGTAAACTACACCAACAGAAGGGCCGATCCAATTGGTGTCTTACTTAATGAGGCAACAATTCCGTACGCCAACGAAGCCAAATACCTTGGTATGCCACTGGATGCTAAATTAAAGTGGAAAGAGCATGTTAAAATAAAGAAAAATGAGCTGAACATTAAATTGAGAAATATGTATTGGCTTCTTGGAAGACATTCTGAGCTTAATACACAAAACAAACTACTGCTCTACAATCAGGTTCTTAAGCCTGTTTGGACTAACGGTATACAGCTGTGGGGCTGTACCAAAGAATCCAATTTGAAAATTATCCAAAAATTCCAAAACAAGGTCCACCGAATCATTGTAAATGCACCATGGTACGTAAGTAATGATACTCTATATCGAGATCTAAACGTGCCGACAGTCAAAGATGAAATAAAGAAGTATGCAATCAATCATCAATCAAGATTACTCCAGCATGACAACCCCGAGATGCTGGAACTTTTAGATGTTGATCAAGTACGTAGACGACTAATAAGGGTCAAACCGCTTGAACTCATCGGCTAGACAAATACAATATACAGGGAACTCATCAGTGGATGATGCACCCATAACCCCCATATTGAGCCAGAAAATTTGCTAAATAGGAATTATTTTCTTGGTTGCAATACCATTTAAAATAAAAAAAAAAATTGTGTGGCAGCTACCCAAACCAGTACCTCGGACATATCCAATTTGGATATGTCATGGATATCCATACGAACGGACAGACGTTTATTCGACGCTGCTCAAAAACATATACTAGAGTCTATTACCTTTATTATGATCGGCGAAGCGAATAGCTAGGTGAGTCGAATGGACTAGGCGATTCGAATGACATTTTAAATTGTGATCGGCGAATGCTTTAATTCGCCAGATCCAAAATGTTGCCATCGTAAGACATCCAAAAAACCTATCCTTCATATGTACATTGTTTTTGCTTTTTTGCAAAAACAATTGAATTTTCCTTTCCCTTTAGCAATGTCGGAATTGTTGTCAATTAATTTAATTAAATTAGTCGAATTTTATTTGGTTCGTTTTTTTCAATAATAAAATAATATTAAATAATCAATATTTTTTAGAACAATTTGTAGGATTTTATGAACTTACTTTTACAGATAGTTTAGATTTTTCCACTATATCACTATGAATGCTGTAATATCCAATAAAAAAAACGCTTACATATGTACATATGTACATATGTATTATTTTGATTTTTGGTATCATTCGCCAAGCTTGTCAAACAGAATTTTCATTCCCGAAATTTGCTACTCATAATACCAAAAAAATATGAATTCGCTAATCGCTAATCATAATTCGCGAATTCACGATAAATAAAAATTTCATTCGCTTCGCCAATAATAAAGACCTATATCTCAGACCATGCCCTTCAGTATACTCTTCGAACATATGTATGTACGTTCGTGCCGGTATAAAGATTTGGTATTTACGGAAAAGTTGCCAATTCGAATAAAAAATTACATACCAAGCTATAATTTATCTAACGAAAATAATGTCAATTTTAGTGGAATATTACAATTATAGCAATATAATAGCATATTTGTAAATTCCATATATTATTCAATTCTACGATCATAGATAATATGATCTTTAAATATTTGCATTTACCGAAATGAATTCACCCAATTTCATATCTTGTACCAACTTCTTAAAAAACAGATATGCAGCTACAGGCAAAAATAACTAAAATTTTGAACTAATATTTTTATTTTTCATGTATTTCATCTACCGACATTTTTTCTAAATTTTCATCATAACTTTCATCAATTTGGTTGTCTATTTCTTCTGCATTATCATCAAGTTTCATTTGTAGTTCTTTAAATGACCTCATCAAAACAAGGAAATCCTTTTTTCGTGTTTCAAGTTTCTTTTGCAATTGCGATTTTTTTTCTTCAAGCTCATATAATTCCTTTTGCAGCAAGTCTAACTGGGTTGTCGTCATTTTTCTGTCAGGTTGGGAATGTATAACCTTGGCTAGGACATCATATTCCATTCGGTTCCTTCTAATTTGTTTAGCAAGAATTAAGTCCTCCTTGCTCGCTTCAATATCTTTTTTCGCTAGCTCAATACTCGTCTCTATGGTATCAGAAATGCTCTTATAGTTTTTCAATTCTTGTTTCATCATTTTCACTGCATAATCAGATTTTATAACAGCAAATTCACTTTGCGCCAAGTAGGCTATTAATCTATTGTACATCAATTGATTATTTTCTGATGAATCATTTGTACTGCACCATTTAATAAATGTTTTTAATAAAACATTCAATCTACGATCATCCCCAGTCCCATCACCATCGATCAAAAGTCTTCTTTTAATAACATCTTCGTCCGTCATATTTTCAAATGTTTCTAAAAAACAATTATTGTTAAAGAATTTAATATGAGATAGTTCTTTTTATATTTCTAAAAAAGTTATTTTGAATTTGTAAAATTCTGCAGACATAATTTTTATTTTGACAGTTCAAAAAACTACAGAATTACACAGTATTTATACGGGCTTAGTTATATACACTTTTCCCAGCATTTTCATGAAGCTAGTTTGAAGGTGGGCGATTTACAAGTTAGAAGCAGAAATTCGTTTGTTATTCTGACAAGCTTGTATATTACTATTTTGAAATCGTAGTTGCAAAACCTTTTTACGTCCATATTTCGCTGTCATTGTCGTTGCTTTTTTTAATGAGATATGTGTTTGTATATATTTAAAATTTTAGGTGTCTCCTGGAAAACAATCGGTTTAATTTTCACATATAAATAGATCTCATGTTTTTTGTTTTGTTGTTTAAATGTGCTATTGAATTAAAATTGGTTAATTACATGTTAATGATATGACAAAATCTACGATTTAATTTGAGTCTGATGAAAGCCGTATTTGTAAACCCTGTGTGATTTTTTTTGACGGTATGAACGGTATTGTACGAATTTTTGAGAGTTAAAAGGCGGCAATTAATTTTTTTGTGGAAGTTTTAAGAAGCGATCAGCTGATGTTATCAAACTTTATCGTAGACTTTGTTATGTATGTAAACAGTATCTTCTAACGCATTTGAATTTTCTTTGAAAATGTCAAAACAAATGGGAAAGGATGAAGTAAAAAGAAAATCAAGAAATCTCGCGTTCTCACAATTAAAAGAAAAACATAATAGCTGCGTTACACAATAAATTTGCCATCCTCTTTTATTAATTCGTTGGCAAGAGAAATGGAATGTATCTAAGCCCTTGTTGAAACAAAAATTACGTAAATGAAGATATAATACGAGTTATATTAAGGCAAAAAACTACGTACTCCTAAAAATACTCTACATAATACTCTATTTAAAGCACTGAAAATATTTGCGCTTAAATTTCAAATGATATTCAGTATACAGAAAAAAAAGATTTGTAATCACAATTTTTCTTTTAACACAGAATAGAAGCAATCAAATTTTGCTTTTGATGCTTAGTTTTACTACTTTATGCTATTCAAATCGGAATAGAAATTGTATTTCGATCTTTCACAAGAAAGAAATTTTATAACAAAAATTTATTCAAGAGCATTTCCCGCAAAAATGCCATTCAGTCAATTTGATCTTAATGGACTAAAAGGTAAGATCAAATATTTTTGTGGGAAGCAAAGAGTTGAAATTAACCTGACAGAGCAAAAATGATAACTCTGTCTCACAGATTGGGAAAGCTGTTTTACTCAACGAATTAGAAATACTAAAGGAAGGAGCATCTTGAATGAAAACAATGAACTCAAAAGGAAGGAGTTAAAAATTTTTTTCAAAGTAAAAACTAAAAAATATTTCAAAATATTTTTTCATTTTAGATATCTGTGAAGAAAAAACTAATTTAAACCAAACTCACTATATTTTTTTTCCTCTTATATTTAGTTTATAAATTGCAAATATTTATAAGAATTTTAATATCACAATATTTTATGACCCTCGAAAATGAACATATTTTGTGAAAATTTCTTATATTATCAGTTTTGTTTGATAATTTTGCTGAACAACTCTTAACAATAAATTTTTATTTTATAAATATAATTAACAATAAATATAAATACATATAAATCTTAATTACTCTGAAACAATATAATTTTTAAAAAATTTTAATTAATGGTTATAACTCACTCAAGTAGATAGTATGTTGTCGTATTCTTCCTATTCATTAATTAAGCTACACATAATAATTCATTCTAAATCAAAATATTTTAGAATATAAATAATTCACACTAATATTTTATTTTACTTACTGAATTCAACGCCATCGGGACTCTATAAAGGGAAATATATTTCATTTCATCATTTCTAGGAAAACTGTTATTATACAAAAAAAATCATTTAAAATATTTGTTTGTATGCTACATTTTATCAAATACATACTCATTTTGCTTTAAAAAAAAAACGGTCCTGGTAAAATTATAGCATCCGAAGTAATTTTAATTTAAAACAAAACAAAAACATATGTTTTCTTTGTAAAGTTAAAAACTTAATAAAATTAGAAATTATGAATTAATCAAAGCACTATTGAATTAATATTTCTTTTAATTGTTAAAATAAATAATTTTAACATGTATATGGTGTAAAAAAAGTATTTTTTTTTGCAAATGGGAATAACAATTAAATAAAATGGGAAAAGCTATATACCTTTTTCTTTTTCAACAAACATGTCTAAATTAACGCAGAATTTTACGCTTTATGAATATATATGTTCGTATATATATACATATCCGTATGAATATATATACATGTACATAGCAGAGACGACTCCTTCAAGTGGTTACAAACTCTATACCAAAGTGAAGGTACAGGGTATAAAAAGAAGAAATATAATTGAATTTTTATAAGTAGCTTGAAATAAACTGTATTACTACACCAACAATTGCATTATTGTACAAAATTTAAGCTTTAATTAAAACAAATTCAAGTGATAAACAAACTAAAATAATTCTTTCTAAAAATTTATACATAAATTCAATTTCACTCGTGCCATAGAAAATTCGAAACGTGCCAAGTCTGGCACGCGTGTGAGTGATTTGCCATCTAGGATGTAGGGTAAATATCAAGTACGGCAAAAAGTAAACGAAGAAACAGAAAAATTCGAGTTTATATATTGTTCTCTTTTCTACAACCAATTTTCCCACGTGCAAAAAGAATAAACAAAACTCAGCGAAAAGTACAGTCACGTACAAAGCTTCGTTACCAAAAGTCAAAATCAAAAAACAAAAGTATAGTTGTAGTGTTTACTAATTACTTGATAATATATTAAGTGAAAGAAAAATCGAAAAAAATAACAGCTCATGCTATAACACAAGCAGTTTTTTAAGTACAATCATAATTCATTCGTTTAATACATTATGATTAATTTAAAAGAAACATGTGCAAGAAAAATTATTACAAAGTCCTCACCCAAAAACTTTACAGGTTCCGAAGAGAACGATTGTAATGAAATTATTGACACCGTTGTAACACAAAACTGCAAAATTAATCGCTTAATTGAAGAAATTAATACAAATTATACAAGAAAACAAATAGCTGTTCTTTTTTTGGAAATTGCAGAAAAACCAGAAATATGTACTAATTTTAATATTTCTTTACCATATGTAAGTTGTAACAATTTTAAAATATTTAAAGCTCACTGATTTTTTATGATTATGATGAATTATTTATGTGTTAATGCTACTCAACGACGTATGAGATGATGCAGTTAAATTCTTATATTTATAATCATAAATTAACAATATAAATAATTTTATTTTCTAATAAAAAATGTAATCAATTTTTGTGTCCATAAAACATTATAATTAATGATGTATCTACATCATTAAATTCAATAAAATCAAATATGAAAAAATTATATTTTGAATAAATATTTTAGTTTAAATTATTTAACTAATTTTAGTATTTGCAAAAGTACTTATCATGTTCAGCAGATGATGTTTGCTTATCAGAAACTGGAGTATTTATTTTGTGCGCTGCTAAAATATATTCACGAAGAGTTGATAGTATTTTTGATAACATCCAACAAATGTTAGCTGGGATTGAAAAAAGTTCCAATGAAATTCAAAAAAGTAATTTGTAAGTTTAAATAGCTATTAAACTATAGATGTTTTAAATGAAACAATAAAAAGAGTTTAAAAATTTACAGAGAAAACAATAACGATAGTTTGGGGAAAGCAAAGGATCAGTTAAAACTCACAAAAAGGCCATCGAAAAGAAGTTTACCAAAAGATGACACCTTGTATGAATCAGAAATAGAACCAAAACTATTTAAAAAGGCGGTTGAAGAAAAAATCTGTGATAAAAATTTGACGACTAATATTTTTGAACCTCCAAAAAATTATTTTAGATGTTTTAGAAAGTATTTGGAATATAGGTTGAATAACAAAAAAGTTCAAAAGGATGGGTCAAGGCAAGATGAAAGTGCAGATCCATTTCTATATAAATATTCAACTATAGAAGATTTTGACTATGAAGATGACATAGATTCTAAAAGAAATTATAAAACTCTTCATGGACATATCGAACATCGTTATTCAACAGTGTTGTCTGATATTAATTTTCTAATGCATTTTAAGGTAAAAGATTTTGTTGAGGAAGAGCTTGAAGAAATTGAAAGGCAGTTGTCGTTGGGTTTGCCGCAAACTCCAAAGCGAAAATGGTATTCCTTGTGTCATAATGAATACATTAACGGCCTCCTTGACTTAGAAAATGAGGTTTTAGAAAAAGAGTTTGATGCAAATACCACTTTTTTTAAAAGACGGAGGAAAAGAAATAAAACAAATAACGAAAACGAAAAAACGGACGACACAAATATAGATAATGTTATATCAAAAAATTCGAAAACAAATACAGCAAATTTTGACAAAGAATCAGAAATGAAAGCAAACAGTGAGTTTTTAACAAATCAGGAAAATGAAGACAAAAATATTTTTAAGCAAGACCAAAGTATAACTAATATTAGTAAACTAACAAACCAAATGCAATATACAGAAGACAGACATAAATTATTAGTTTCAGATAAAATTTTGGCCGAACCTCAAATATCTTCCGAAAAAAGCATGGGTTTTAAAGACTGTAACGTTTTGAAAGAAGATGATAAAAAAGAAGAAAAGCATGAGCAGGAAAAAGTTGAAGAAACAATCGATCCAAAAAAAATTATAGTTCGTCTAAGTTGTGATGACGAAGGTATCTTTTTAAGTGATCTAGATGATGTTCAATCAGCTATGATAAATCCAAAAGTAATCGCGGTTGATATTCGCAAGTCGATAGATAAAGGGATTGACTTTTTTTCCATTAATTTAGACAGATCTTTAGAAAATTTTCTAGGTTTAGACGAGACTGAAAATGTGGAAGAAGAAAAAATATGTCCACTAAATATATTTGGAATTGAAAATAATTTCATCAGTTATAAAGAAGATTTTTCTTTGCCATTTGATTTTTTTGTTAAAAAAATACCAATTAACTTGAATATCTTCAAAATTCCTGAAAAGAAACTTAGAGTTTCAAAAAGTTTCTTTTTACCAGAAGAATACAATCTATTTAAGTGTGACGTAAGTTTAAGAAAAATGCAATTTAAATTTTATTATTTTAGCAATATGTCTACGTTAAATTATTTAATTAATTTTCAGCGATTAAAAAAGAGAACTCGAACGGAAAAAGGTCCAAGAATAATGAAGGAATATACCGATTTTTTTTCTAATCCCATTTCCCTATTAAACACTACAGAAGAGTCAGGTAGTTTTTAATTTTATTGAATATTGTGTGGGGTATATGTAGTTATTTACAATATCTATTTTTTAGATTTTTTGGGCTTTTCACAAGAAGAAATTGATTCAAATATAATAACAAAACAGAAAATCGATGAATATAGACAGAGAACAGTATCAACAGATTCAGGGATCTTTATGTCCAAGGCTCTAAATTCATTTTCTTCAACATTAGTTTCAAATATTTCACAAAATGATTCAGGATATTTTAACGAAAAAGAAGAAGACAATTTGTCTAAAATTATATCTACACTAAGTCAAGATGAGTCATCTAAGAGATTAGAAAAAAGTTCAGTTGAAACTGCAATTTTAACTGAAGCAAGCAAATATTCTGTAAAAATTATTGATGTTCAAACTATAATACCTCCTCCAATAGATAGTAACAAAATTTGTAACACCAGAGAAACATGTGAAAATGTAAATGAAATTAATGCTGCCGAAAATATTGAAAGTAATGCGCAAAATAATGAACTCAATAAGCAAATCAGTAATCGAGATGAAGATGTGGATTTTATGGTTTCTGAAAATGCTGATGAAGGTTTTTCAAATACTGCAAGCTTAAACGAAAATTTGATTCAAAATCAAGATTGTTTGGAAACATTAAAAATAACAGAAAAAGTAATATTTAAATACAATATGAATAAAAAGTAAAAAAAAAAATTAAATAATTTTAGATAAAGCTTTGGCATAAACATCTTAAGCCAATATTAGCGAAATCAAAAGGAAGACATCATTTTGACGTCTTTGATTTAGGAACAGAAATAATGAATGAATTTTCTGCAAAAAATAATAACACAATTGATTTTTGCTCAGTTATGGAAAGTAAAGACCCCAGTTTCACTTCACGATACTTTTTATCCATGCTACTTCTTGTAAGTGTAAAAATTTTTGTTTTAAAATAATCATATGGAAACATTACATATCCTTTTAGGCCAATGCAAGCAATATTAAACTAAATGTAAAGAATAGAAACATAACAAAACCCGCTTCACCAGAAGATATTGAAATAATTCTTTTAAGTACGAAACGGCACGTTGTGTCTGTAGAAGACAACATTGGAATGATAAATAATAAAAAGAACTCTTCTGTACAAAATAATGTGCAATTTTTTTCAAAACCTAGTAAAACAATTAAGAAAAGTGTACATAACGATGATAATGACTCTGGGTTTTTCAGTAACTTATCAAGCATTTCTTCACATAACGATTCAAGATAACTTTAATATTATTATTCTTGATACGAAAAATTAAAAACTAACAAAATCTTTTTAAATAAGTTTTGCTTATGTTATTTCAGATAATAACCTATAAAATAGTGTTTACCACAACACCTTTAAGCGGAATTCTTCAAACTGTGATTTGTAAAGTGTATTCTCAATAAGAAAATTTAAATAACTGACTTCATAGTGTAATTAGACAAAAAAATTTGTACCTGCCACTTGATTGGTAAATTGGTTATTTATATTTTTTATGAGAATCAAAATTTGAAAATTGTACACATACCTTTTTTTTAAATTCTTAATATTTTTGTTGTATGCGAAAAACTGTAAGTAATATGCATAAAAAAAGGAATTAGTTATAAAATTCGAACACAAACAGAATTAAAAAAAAATAATTTAATATTGTTTAAAAAAAAAACTTAACAGGAGCAAATTCAGTTTTAACGTTTTTTAAATTCAAAATACATTACATATGTATATATTTTAATTTCTAAAATAAAAAATTTGCATGTGTAATAGATAATTTATATATTGTACATAACCACATAAAGTAAATTGTATATATGCAACTATGTATAAAATTTTAAATTTATATATGTATATGGTAAGAATAAATAAGTTGAAATGTTAACAGCTACCTCTTTTATTTTAGTTTGTATTTTTTATTGATAAATAAATTTTGAAGTTTATAATTAATTTATAATTAATTTTTCACTTAAAGCCAAACTCTCGATCAATTACTTTGCACATAATTCTATCTGTCACATCGCAATTATCGTTTAAATTATCCGTTCTAGATTTATTATTTTCATCATCTACATCCATCTCATTCATAAAATCTTCATTCTCAAAAGAAACGGGTAAAGTTGCAAATGCGTGTTTTACGATTTCTCTAACTTTGTCCAAGTGCTTTTGGAATCTTTAAATAAATTTGTTAAAGAGAAGCATAGAGTTAAACTATTAAATTTTTTAAATATTGAAAACATTATTTTACCGAATGGATGTTTCAATACGTTGCCTCTTTTGTAATTCCATCATAACTCGAAGCGTTTCCCTTGCTTGATGAGGTCTAAATTCGTTTAATAAATGATGCATATGCACAAAAAGCAAACTTAAATCATCAATCTTGTAATAAAAATTGAAAATTTTACAAAAATTTCTTTGAGTATAATAAAATAGATTTAACACCTTTTCTGCCCTTCTTGGACTATCGGGAAAATTTACAAGCAAATCAATCAAATCAAGAAAATTTACAAATAAAGAGTGATTCAGTTTTTTCAACTCTTTCCTTCTATCAAAATGTATAGGAATCAATCTTTTTATGCCTTGGCTTTCCAATGATCTTATCATTTCTTCATTATTATAAGTGGTGCCAAACATTGAATAAGTATCATATATTGGCGGTGGTGGCCTAGGAGTTCTCTTCTGTCTAATATTTTCATCTGTGTATAAGCTTATGTATTGAGTTGGCGGAAGTGGAAGAGAACAAACTTGAGTAGTTTCAGTGTTGGCCATTTTATATAAAAAAAATGTTTTAAAATCTTAACTTTTGTATTTAAGACAAGGTAATAAACAATGATGTACCTAAGTATTTATGTCAAATTTACCCATGTAATATATGTATGTATGTATGTATGACATTTCTTGATTGATTGACGTCATTTGAAAACCATTCCAATACAATCCATGACGCTAATAATACCAAGGTCTACAAATAGTTTTGACTTTTGAAAATGTGACTTCATCATGAAGAATTTTACAAAAAATTATAACACATTTTGCATAAAAGTGTAAAAGCTGGTAAAAATAATAATAAAAAGAGTATTAAAATAAAAACTATTGAAGTTTGTGTTTTACCCCTGACATTACAAAAAATCAAAGTTAGCCGTTGTTTTGCCTCATTTTCATTACGTGTTTTTTTCTTTAAAGGTACATTCATATAAATTTAAAACAAAGCCTACATTTGAAAAATGAAAATTTGGTCTACGATATTCTATTCGTAGTTTTTTTTAAATAATTGGTTTTTTATGTTTATTAAGGCATAGAAGAAAAAATGCATAATATTCCTTCATGGATCTATTCATGGCATGTTATGTTATGAGCAGTTAGACATTTAATAAGTGCGTTAAATCGATTAATATAGAATTAATTGCTGTGTAAGAATTTTATTAGCAAGAAATATATATGTATATAATATAATATATTTTTGGAATTGTGAAAAAATAATAAAACATTTTTTAAAATACTGTTACTATTTTAAAAAATATTTTTTTTTGTATGAAAATAATTCACTGAAATAGCAATCAAAAAATATAAATAAACATTTAAGAGTTGAAATAAAATGATCATTTTGACACTCCGAAAAATGATACTGACACAGGTGATTCATAATCTCTACGAAAGGAATTTGTGATCATTCAATAGTGTACGTAGTTATGCTCATAATTCGTGCGATTCTGCGAGTTGAATGCATGATAGAGCTGCATATTTTCAAACGTTTCCAAGGACAAAACTTTGGCAAAAAGGAATTTGAAGTAAACCTTGAATCCTCATTAAGAGCAGCTAAATTTAAAATCAGCAAGAGTAACTGGCTTCTATCGAAGAAACATAATTCGTAAATAGATAAAAATTCTTAGAAAATAGAATTTCAATAAACGTACAAATTAACGAGCTTTTGAAACAAAAAAATTTATTGCACATTCTGTTCTAAAATGGCATCGATTTATGGTTAATTTTGAATTTAGATCTTATTGAAATCTCCATCGACATGACGTAGTGAAAAAGTTTTATTTAACCTAAAATAAAATCAACAGGTTTTTATTTGACAATCGACGAACTATTTTTATAAATAGTACTTGTAAAAATGAAAAAAAAAACGTTATTTTATTTCACAATATTTTTGTTGTTCAATTTAAATCATTTTTATTTTTCTTTTTCTTAACTAATTACTCACATTTAAGACGTCTGATCTTCTGATCTTTAAATTTGCGAAACTAGTCAAGAAAAAGGAAAAACTTAGCCCAAGAAAAAGAAAAAGAAAGTATATCGTTTTTACCTTTTACTAAAGTTTACGAAGCGTTTTTCACGAAAATCAAAAATCGATCACAGCACAACATAACGTATACACATGTGAATATCCAAGTATCCATACAGTTGTGGAAGATATGACACACATAATAATTGGAAAACTTATTCTAATTTTACATTTTCTCAAATTTAAAAAAAAATTTCAATAAAACAACTTCAATGCCTCAAAAAAAAAAATAATAAAAAAAATTTAGTGATTTTTTTTGTTAATAGAGCATTTATTAAAATCTAAAAAAGAACGGATCAACGGAATTTGGAAGGTTTTTTTGAAACTAATTTTTAAAAGTTGCTATAACAGAAAACTAGTAGAAACGCAGCTTGCGTTTCGAGATAATTTCAAGTTATGTACTCAAGCTGCCACATAAACGAGGTACACATATATATAATTCATAGATGAAAATTTATTTATATATCGATAAAAATCTCAACAACTTAACTTTTTTTATAACACAATGAACAAAATAAAAATGATTCTTCACGATGATGTAACATTCATTTAAAAAGAGGTTGTCGATAATCCAGCACACTTATGTTTTATAAGTAACATTTTCGAACAAAAATCAAACAAAATTGACAATTTACAACACAAGCGAACACTGCATTGCCAAGCACATCAAAATAAAATAAAGAAAAGCAATATAATTTATAAGTTGGATACAAGCAATATAATTTATAAGTTGGCTTAAATTTACGATTCCGCTGGTTTACTAAATTCTATGAATTACTTATTTAATTCAATTTTTTATATTGAATAATATTCTGGAAAAAATGTGAGGAGTTTAATTTCTATACATTTTTTGTTTTTAACATAGTACCGGTGTGTTTACAATGCGATAATTCTGATGTAACGCATTTAAAATAAAGTAAAACGCATTTAAATTTTTTTATAATCACAAACATAATTTTTTTATCATTTTTTTATAATCGCCACATCCTAAAAAAGAACATTATAGACTAAATTTAATTCTTTATTTTTACTTTTACTTTATGGCTTATGCCATAGTACTAATTGCTTAATAATAACCTATAACTCAGTAACAAAATTATAATAAAATTAAGTATTTGTAGTAAGTATCTTTTATTTAGTATATATGTAATTGATGAAAAGTACTTAAATTGATGAAATCAAAAATTGATTTTTAGACATTTAACTATGAAATAATTTCTTGAAATTTTTCATAACCATATTTCGCAGAATTTTTATCTTATACATTTCCTAAAGAAATTTTTACCAAACATAATTTTAGTTAGAATGTTAATACTTTTATAATATAATACACACTTTTTTAATGTTTTAAATGCATAAAAATTTAATTTATGAACATTTGTGAATTTCTAGCTGAAGAAAAAAATTGCAGCACATATTTGAGCTGTTAGCTGTTGAAATTTTACAATGTTATTGTTAGAGCTAAATGTACAATTGTTTATGGTAAATATTTGCAATAGCGTAATATAATGTGTAACATATGGAAGTAAAGTGTGTTTAATGCAATCACGTAGTGCAATTTTTATTGGAGAAAAATAAAATTCACATTTGTATAAAATATGTTTGGACCTTATTTTTGACAATTGAGCTAAAAAAATATTATTTGGAGCTCAATTTTGGATATTACTTATATGTTTTTATATGGCAATGCTAGGAAGGCGTTAGCATAGTGTGGTTGAGTTGGATTTGGAAGAGTAAACTTAATTTGGAAATAAATTATTTTGTGGAGAAATAATAAAAAGTACCTTTTTCAATAAAATCAAGTGATTTTGATAAAGATATATTAACCAAAATGGGATTGAACGGATGTTGTACTTGTGTAAAATACCTTATGGTAGTTTTAAATTTTCTATTTTGGGTAAGCAATCATTTTTCTTTAAGTTATGAGTACCATAATTTACATATATACCTACATGTTTGATTTTTTCCCTATTACGCACAAATATTAGAGAATTAATATAAATATGTATAAATTTCTCTAATTATAGTGCTATTTGACTAAAACAGAAAAAATTAAGTTGAAATAACGTTACGTCATTTGTGTAGGCTGAAAATGTATAATTATCAATAAAAAATAGCAAAAAATAATTTTTTAATTTTATTTGATAGTAAAAAAGTAATCCAATGATTTTGTGTATACCCAAACTCAGGTCGAAATTTATATGCACATTAAACGCATGCGTTATATCCTGATTTTAAATAATAAAAATAAAAAGTCCCTGAACTAAATATTAAGATAATTTGTTTACACAAAATATCCTAGATATGTATTCTGAGATCGATCCTATAGTTTCTTAATTTCAGCCATGTATCAAACAATTTCATTATTTTGGTTAATTGAGATTTAGTTTTATTAAAAAATCGCAAAACAGTCCAAATTTTCTTTTAAATTATTGCCTCAAGTAAGTTAAACTGCCTACATAAAAATTATTCATGACATAATGTAATTATTTATTTGAAAATTTAAGCAGATTTATATCATTCAAATATTTTTAGAAATGCATTTCTCATTATGTAACAAAATAAGTATGTACCTACCTAAACAAAAATAATATAGCCTGGGATTTTATAAAATACGTGCCCTCGTTCATATTCATGTATTAAATTATAATAAAATATTGTATTATATGTATGTTTGAATGCGTAAATAACCATGAATAAACATACACAGTATTTTTCACTGAATAAAAAATGTAAATTGAATCTAGCAAAAAACCTGTATTTAATTTTAACATAGCGTTTGCAAAGGAGTATAAGTTTTAATCACGTACCTACATATATAAAAATTTTTGTTAATTAGATTACCTGACAAATTTAAATGAAAATAAGTTAATAAGTTATTTAAATCGATTTTTCATTTAAATGAAATTGAAAATGTGAAGTCTATTTAACTTTTATTTTATTATTAATCCTTTTAAATCCTTTCATTAAATTTTATTTCAGATAATTGGATTATCTTTTATAGTTTGCTCAGTATGGATGTTAACTGATCCAACATTTTTGCTATCGATGACACAGCCAACTAATGATTATTATATTGCGCTTTATATATTTTTAGCGGGTAAAACTTTTTAAAATTTATGCAAGTAGGTAGAAGATAGAAAAATTATCTTTAAATTTTTTCAGTGGGATGTTTCATTCTTATTGGAGCTTTTCTGGGTTGCTGCGGTGCTTTCAAAGAATCACAATGTCTATTAGTTTCGGTAAAATAGTTATCAGGTTCTTTTGTATCTTTTGTAAAATTTTTCACCGTTTCAGTTTTTCTGTGTATTACTTGTTGTTTTAGTAGCACAGCTAGCGGCTGGAGCTTGGGCTTTTCACAATAAAGAAAAACTTGAAGAAACGGTTCGGAACTCTGTAAAATATTCGGTCCAAGAAGAATACGGGATTATACACACTCGTACTGTGACTTTTGACAGTTTTCAAAGAAATGTAAGTCTTTTTATAATTATCTCCCAAAATTTTTTTATAATTATCTGACGCATAATTTTTTTTTTTAAAAGTTACAATGCTGTGGAGCTAACGGTCCCAATGATTGGGCTGCAAGTAAATATAATAATGTTGATCGAAGCAGTATTTTGAATATTGCTTTGTCAAATGCGAACCCGTTCTTCAGTATTCCCGAATCTTGTTGTAATGAAAAATTTACTCAAAATGAATGTGATTTAGCAAGATCAGTTAAAGCAGGGAATCTCATAAATCCCACAATTTATCAAACGGTTTGCAAAAATATTTCAAAAATTATATAATTATTATAATTTATCTTTTGTAGGGATGCATTGATAAAGTTGTTGAATTATTAGAAATTCATTGGACAATTATACTATCGGTTACAATATTCATTGTATTTTTGGAAATCTTAGCGCTGGTCTTATCGCTTTCATTATGTTGCGCAATAAAAAACGATCATTATAAAGGTTAAAAAACAAGGTATATGGTTAGTGAAAAGAAATTTGAAAGTAACACAAATATAACAAATATTTAAAAAACAAGTTTAAAAGCATAAAAATTCTATATTATATAATATTTATTTATACATACGAATCAAACTTAAGATATTAAAAAGTATCAATGTGTTAAAATTTTTGCAAAGAATGCACAGTGTAACCTTTTTTCTTATAGAATATTATCATATTATTTTAATACTAGCTACCAGTTCAAATATAAATGAATCAAAGCAAATTTAATCACAGAAGTATTTTTTAATATTTTTAATGTTTTGATTTACACTAGAAAATTAACATATAAAAAAAGTTGAAAAATCAAGTTCGCATTTTTTAATTTTGCAGGAAATAATGAAATACATTTTACGTATCCAAATTCCAAAATACAAAATAGCTAAATATAATAGATACGAATATATTACATACACATTTAGAAAGAATTGTTTTAAAAAAAATTCAGAAAAATAATCATGCAAATTTAGAAAAATAGGTATAACTATTGAAAAATAAAATTATGTAGGGATTTTTTTTAATTCTATGTGATTTTTAGATATTAATTGATTTACTACAGATAATTTAAGAATTGACAATTTTCTTGGAAAAATATAATTCCGTCAATAAAATATTGTCAATGTTGAAATAAAATGATAAATTTTGCTCGAATATTTATAAAAAAAATTTACAAATAAAATATATTTAAGATTTTTGAATACTCAAATTTAATTATAAGTACGAAAATACAAGAAAAGAAAAAGAAAATTACTAAAAATTTAATGTCCAATTGGCAGCATTTTCTAAAAAACCAAAACAACCTTTTTTTAATATTTTTGAATGTGAAAATAGTAAAATTAAGCAGCAATATTTTTTTGTACTCACAAAACCTTCAAAAACAGCACAAAAAGTATAATGAAAAACTAAAAAACGGCGCTAATTGGACTATTTTGAATCATATTTAAAATTTTTAAAAATCTCCCAATTGATCATTTCGTCTTTTTTGAAATTAGACAAGCGTTTGTGCCAAAGTTTGGAAAATATAAAAGAAAACTGCCAAAAAAGAAATTCATATCGACTGAAAATCGAAATTGGAAACAACATGAATTTTTTAGTTGATTAAAGTTTATTACGATTTAAATTAATGTGCTTATTTAAAAATTAAGATATTAAAAAATAAAAACATAAATATGTACATATGTATGCACATACATACATATTTACATATATGATTTGAATTTTTGAAGACGAAATAATATGGTAATATATGTATATAATATATGTATATAATAATACATATACATATAATATGTATAAATTACGAATTATTAATAATAAATATTATTAATAATATACATATATATATATATATTTATTTATATGTACGTATATATATATATAATATATAAAGATTCACCAAAAATAAGATAAAACACAAATTTATATATTATACTAATCACTTGATTTTAAAATTTATATTTAATAATTAAAGAAAAATATTTAAATGGAAAATGTTTATATATTTATGCGTCTTTGCAAATATTTTAAAAATCAAAATATAGTAGAAAGAGTATATAATTAAGAAAAATCTCATTTTCTTTAACTAGTTATTGTGCTATAGGGAAATAAAGTTGTTATAAGTTTCAATTTAAAAAAAAGTGTAGATGTTTATTGATATAAAAATTTATGAAAAAAAAAATAAAATGTATAGTATACATATATAAATATATATAATTATGCAGAAGAACATTAAATTTAATGAAGAGCAAAATTATATGTACTAACTAGTAGAAAATTCAAGTTCTACAACCTCCAAAAAACACTTATATTATTAAAAAATAATTTAGTAACTGAATTTAAACAGTTTCTGATTTATGTTTATGTATGTACTTACATATATTGTATAAAATTATACACATGCATATATATATGCATGTGTATAATATATATATATGGATATATATATATATATATATATATATATATAAATTCAATTTAGTGCTAAGCTTCCTGAAAAAACTTTTTCAATGTCCAGAATTTAAATTGAAAACTAAAAATAAAAAAAAAATGAAATTAAACTACATTAATACCTAAAAAAAAGAAAGCATACAAAGCTGTACCAAAAATTTTAGTACTTAAATTTTGGACAAAATTGCCATTTTTATTATAAATTTTGTTTGTTGTGTTCTTGTTATATATATATTTTTTTTAATAATTTAAATAACAAATCTAATATGTATTAACATGTATTTATTTTTTCAAATTGCACAAATTTATTTTAAAATGTTTAAACATTTTTATATATTTGAAAGCAACAGTGTATATTTTTTTAAATAGTTCTTTTCTTACTTTTTTTAGGTTTAAATAGTCATGTATTAACTTTAAATTTATTTTTTATAATAAATAATTGATCAACTGATAACATTGCTTTTTAATTATTCTCCAATTGTTAATTTTTTGTCAGGGCTTCGCTAATAATTTCAATACATATACCTACATCAATAATTTTATTAAAATATTATTAAAAAAATAAACAATATTGCAAAAAATTTTTTGCACGGAACTGCCCTGAAATATTAAAGATACTTTCCAGTTCTAAATCAAAGCCTTTTTAAGTTTTTTACAAATTTATTTATTAATACAAAATGTATGTCTAAATTTTATTCTTCGGTACCTACAAAAAACTTTAAAAAACACTTTATTTCAACTTTCAAGAACTTTTATCAAATTGACAACAAAATGTAAATTTCTTACGTATATTTTAACGAAAGTCAAAATATACGTAAGTAAGTAACGGATTTCTCTTTTTAACTTTTTTCCAAAAAATTTTTAAAAAAAGTCCTTATTAGTTTCACTCTGTCCGTCCATTCGTCCGTCTGTCCGTGTGTCTGTTTACAAAACTTCTACACCCTTGAAAATAGAAAGCTGAAATTTAACACGTACCCCTAGAAGTTATACCCCCCCAAAACCCTAAAAATGGCCTTTTTTAATTATTTGTTGCAATGAAACCATAAGCATTTTTGAAATTTTGCAAACGCAGAAAGGCAGCGACTTGCTTCCCCTAGCGCGGTATACTATAGTTAAATTTTAGAAAAATAAAATGGCCGTTAAAATTTACCGTTATCTATAGTTTTTTTTTTTTAAATTTTTGATTTCGTTTTTCTTCTAGACCCCAGCCTGTAGAAGCTTGAAATTTCAGGGTCTTTTAAACATTAACAAATAGTTCATTTCGCTAGAAGAAAATTTTTTTCCATTTTTACCCCCTCTCAAATTATCGCCTCGTGAAATTTTTAAAAATCGCAAATTTTTTTTTATCGCAATATCAATTTCGTCCAAATTTTTTACGTAACAAAGTAAAACTACGCAAAATTTTCATAAATTTTCATTTTGTGGGAAATAGTGATCACTTTCCACAAAACTATTATTAAGTTCTTTTGGTTTTGATAGAATCAATAACAATTTTATGGGAAATGGCCAATAATCTTTCATAGATTTTAATGTTTACACTTCAATAAGGAATTGAAGAAATTTGGAAAAAGAATTCTTTCCATTATTGTGGTTGATGATTGCTTTCTACAAAATCATCATCAAGGGCATTTTATTTTAATAGAGTGAATAATAATTTTATGGTAAGTGACCGTCAACCGTGTAAATTAGTTGATGAAAAATAATTTCATGGGAGGTGACTGCCAACCAATTTAAGGGATGTGAAGTTACAGGCGATTTAATAATAAGACTTTCATTGTATCACTTTTGAACGAAGAATGAAGTAAGAAGAAGGTTGGACGGTCACTTTCCATAAAATTAATATTAATTCCATTAAAATTTAATGGATGAAGGATAGTTTTGTGGCAAGTTATGTTTATTTGATTTTAATGAAATTAACAATTATCTTATGTGAAGGGGATGTCAACTAGTTGCACTGCAATTATAACAACTCGGCAATACTGAATTATATATTCAGTATTTTATTTTATGTATGATTTATTTGAAATGTGGTGAATTTCATCAATGTTTTCTGGGTATTATCAGAAGATTTTCAGGCTTTCATTTTCTGTTTAGGAAATAGAAAGTATCTGGGAAATGTTAAATAATAATAATTAATAATGTATTGAAAATATATATGACCGAAAATTTTTTTTAAAATTTAAAAATAATAAATAATATTAGTTTGAGAGTGTAAGGTAGATATTAAAAATTGAATCGAAAATATTGAAAGAAGTCGCCATTTTAGAGGAAATATTTGTGTAAAGCTTCAGAAGGAAATTAATGAAATCAATGTATAATGTCGAAATCTGTTAAAAACGAAAAGAGTCAACAATTATTTGGAGGTTTCAGCGATTTTGATGGAGATTCTTTACCAGATTTTGATGAATTTGATTCGGAATCAGTAACATTAGACTATTTTAGAGAAAGGTATGAATTGTTATATTTATAGACTAATAAAGTGGTGCGAGTTGAAATTCCTACATACCCTTGGCCTACAAAATTTTTGTCTAGCCTATATTTTTAAAATTTTAAACATTTAACAAAGTCTTAGCTGTTTTCATTTCGTATGTATGTACATATATATTTATAGACTTTTATAGACCTACATACATATATATTAATTAAAAGGTTAAATAAAATGCAAAATTAAAAATTTAATTTCATGCATTTTAAGAAAAAAAATTAAAATGCTCAATTAATCCTTTTTCAAATTGAAGTCCCGTCTTAGCTGACAATTTGAAATTAAAAATACAAAACTTATCTATCCTAAAAAAATTAACTTTACGCAGTGCAAAATATACCCATTAATTATATGTATGTGCATGCTTTTTGTTTTGTTTGGAGCTTGAATTAACCATGAAACATATTTTTCAGCAATTTTGTTTGAATGTAAATCAAAAGCAACTAACACGCTCGACAAAAAAAGAAGTTTACTTAAATATATTCCGTATATAGACTATTAGGAAATTGATCAGAATTTTAAGGTAAGTGCCGACATAATTATGTTGAAATTTGTACTTTGTGCTTTTAACTTAGTTACTTTATGTAAGAAATTATAAGAACTTTCTATTTAGAGTAATTTCTTGCACTTAAGTAGACTACACTACATAACTGCATTATATTAAATCTAATAACTAGCATTAAAATATAGGTAGGTACCTGCTAAAGTTATTAAATTATTTATTGTTTAGTGGGTATCTAGCAAGTTTACTTATTAAATATTTTTTCTTGTATAACTGAAATAGTTATACTCAATTTTATGATAAAAAATTAAGATAAATGCAGTTAACATATTATTTGAAAATTATAAATTGGTTTAAAATTGCATGGTAATTAATATTTTTTTCAAACTATTCAAACATAATTGACAACAAGTTTTCTGTTATAGTTGCTAAGTTAAAAATTTTATTTTTCAGTTCTCGAAGACCATCATCATCGAAAATGGCCCCAACAACCACAATTGAAACTATTACTATAACTAGGCCATTGAAAGTAAGTGTTTTGAGATAGTTAGGTGAATTATTACTAGAAATGTGTTAATTTGCAAATTGTTCTTAGGTTATTGCTTTCATTTGTGGAATAATTGTTATTGTATTAATGATAATGGCTTTAGCATCCACAGACTGGCTAATGGCAGCAGGTTGGAGACAAGGTCTTTTTGTTCATTGTATAGAAGAGGATATTGTTCCACCATTACCATTTAATTTGCATGATCCTCCAGGATGTTATCCTAGTAGGGATGTGGGTAAGTTATATGAAAAAACGTTTTGTTAGCAGGAGTTTTATGGTGATAACTTTTCAGCATACATAAAAGCAACGGCCGCATTATGCATAATTACTTTATTTACTGATGTAATTGCTACAGTGTTGACTGGGTTAGGACTTAAAACTCAAAACCATAACTTAAAGTACACATTTTACAGAGTTGCGGTACTTGTAATGTTATTATCATGTAAGCGTTTGATTTTGCCAATTCGAAAATTATGCGCTAATATATTAATTTTTTCTCAGTACTATCAGTTTTAATTGCACTTATATTATATCCAGTTTGCTTTGCCGCAGAACTTAATTTAGGTAAATACAGTATTTTTAACTTAGTATGTATTATATTGAAAATTGAAAAAAAAAATATTTTGTTCGAAAAATGGTACTTTAGGAAATCGTCCTATTTGGGAATTTGGATGGGCTTATGGTGTTGGGTGGGGCGCAGCCATCTTTCTATTTGGTGGAGTAGTACTGCTATTATGTGACAAAGAATCTGAAGAAATTTATTACAAGGAAAGAAAAATTGTACATGAAAATCAAATGCGCGCCTAGGCCAGGCCGCACGACCTGCCTGACGTCGTTTTATAGATATAAATACAAATATAAGCTAAAATATTACATTAATCTATAAGATATTTTTTTTATAACCCGAAAAAAAAGAAGTATATTGTATACATATAAACTCAAAGATAATATCGCAATTAAAATTTTTCGACAAAAAAAAATTACAAAAAAAGTGAAAAAATAACTTTGAAATTAATTTTTACTAAATATTTATTAAAAGTATATGATGAAATATATACCAAAAAGATATATACATTTATATAAATTTCAAATTTTTTTATTCAAATATACAAATAAAAAAAAAATAAAAAAAAACTCAGCTCTATAAACTTATAAAATTTAAATCCCTTTATTTATTCTATTTATAATATTTTCAAGATATTTTTTTATAGGTATATATTATTTTGATATTATTTTGCTTATTGTTTTTTAAAATTTGCGTAATTTTAATAGTTTTATTGATATTATTTAGAAACTTTTGTCCTGTTATTTTTTTTATTAATGTGAACTTAAATATGAAAGTTTGTTTTTTTTTTTTTATTTAATTAAGGGAGTAAAACCTCAATAAAATGTAATAGTCATACGTACTTTATAAAAAAAAATAAATTAAGAGCAAAGAGAAAACCAATAATTCGTTCGACATTTAAAATTCTTACAATATATGTACATATAACAATGTTTTTTTTCTACAAATAAATTTGTATTTTAATTATTGCAATTTAGTTATAATTTTGTCTTTATTATAAACGTAGAATTTGAAAATTGCTGGAATTATTTTTGACACATATCAGTAATTAAAAATAAAAAAATTTGAACTTCCAATGCTCAAAAAAAAGCTATTTAAAAAAAAAAAAGAAAAAAAAATGTTGAGATAAAAATAAACAAATTTTAGAAAAACAAAAAAAAAGAATTTTTGAACTGCCACGTTATTTTGTTTGTAGAAGGATTGTTTATAATTTTTTTTACATTTATTTACTTGCCACGTTTTTTTCATATCAATTTTTTTATTTCATTTAATACAAGCATGTTTTTTTAAAAATCTACAATTTCATTTTACAAACCATTAAAGTTTAAAAAGAAAAATAATAAATTTAATAAAAAATTAATTTTTAGAGATCAAAATTTTGTAGTGACCAATGAGTACATTTAAATTATTGATATTATAAGAAAACTTACATTTTGAATTAATTAATATTAAAAATAAAATAATTAAAATTAATCGAAATATCTACCTAAGAAAATATAAACAGATAAACCGTAGGCAGGAACGTGCGAAGATATTTTAGCAAGCAAAAAATACATTAAAAAAAACAATTATTTAAAAATTAAACATGAAACCAAATATGGAGTATAATTAATATTATGTTGCATAAAAATTTGTATATATTATAATTAACAAAAAAAATTTATAGAAAAAAATATTTAAAAGATGAGGAAAACAAATAAATGTATGTGCATTGTCCCAATTAAAATGCATAAAGTTCACATAAAATTATTTGATTTTTGTTTGCTTTTTTTCAAGAAAAAATTTTCCGCATTTTTGGACATTTATTACAAACATTTCGTAAAAAAACTTAGTTTAAACTTATTTGAAATTGTACTTTCTGAAAAATCTAGCCTTCATTAATTTTTTCAGTAACTGTTGCTTGTATTTAATTGAGCTATAAACTCATTTCTGTTAAGATTCGGTCAAGTAACGTACCCAATACCCAAAATAACCTTAGATAAACAAATTTGGTTTTTTGTAAGGAGGATATTGCTAATATGACTTGTGTTAGTTGATGGAGTCGATTGGCTGTCAAAAATCGCAAGTTTGGAATGTTGAGTTAGGTAAATGTAAATCAATGTTTTAAATAATTTCACGATTAAATTTCTAATTAGAAAAAAATTTCAATTTTTATATTATACGTTGTGATATGTGTCAGTATACAAAGCTAAAATTATTTTCCAAAGTATCACAATTTTCAAAAACAATGCTTAATGTTTTACATTCCGATGTATTCCAATTATCACTTATACTAACTTTATTTAGTATGTTTTCAAATCAATTTAGAAATACATAAATTGTATAGTAATCATTCTTTTTTAAATTTATTCCCAAAAAACAAAAATTCTCTAAGCACTTTGACTTTTTTTTGTAAATTTTTAAATCGAAAATTATTCTCTGTTTGCAATTTGTAATTTAGTATCCTTCCATTTGGAAAGTAGAAAAGTTCAAATGCGTTCAAATTAGCTATTTAATTTTTGAAAATGGATATTTGCCTAGGAATTTGCAAAACAAAAGTTTTGAATTTTAATTAAAAATATACAATGTTTTTTATACAAATATTCCAACAAGTAAATAAAATATGCAATGTAATGAGAAATTTGAGAATTAGAAATACATATGTATGCATATACATATGTATGCAATATTAATGTCTTATGTATGTAATATGAAATTTATTTTTTAGATTACAATTTATTTTTTATGTAATATATATTATGTACATAAATATACATAAATAATCCATGCTTATTTTATGTAAAGTTTTGTCGTCATCCAAAATGCAGTAATACTACATTGTACATTGCCTAGCAATTTTATTGTTCCATTCAAAGAATCCCAATTATATTTCCATTCAAAGAATCACAAACACATTGTACCCGAATATTGGAATATCGAAGTGCGATAATACTGTTTGTGTTAGCATGTTAGAGGTAGCTGATTCATTTTTAAATCGAATTAGTTGCTTTAATTTAATTTATCAACTACAATAAAGTATCTAATAATCTTAAAACAATAACTTCATGTGGTTACTTGGTACGTAATTATATTATAATGTATTACATTTTATTCATGTAAAATTTATTCTATATGTATATACTTACATATGTAAGTATACAAGAATGGATAGATTGATTTGAATTCCCATATAAATCCTTTCTCAATAGATTTCGAGAAAAACAATACACCTGACTTAAATTCGATAATGTACTTAAATTCGAAACCTGACTTAAATTCGAATCCAGTAATATTCTAATAAAGAGAGTTCAGTAAAATCACAAAGGAAATCCACTTTGACCCAAATCATATTTTATTGGAGTTGATATACATACACAGAGCTCTTTATATTATATTTGATGACACCAAAACCAACTAAAGATACTAAATAAATTATAATATGATACTAAAGATAAGTAAGTATATGTAAGTATACAAGAATGTATACTTACATATGTATATACATATGTAAGTATACAAGAATGGATAGATTGATGTGAATTCCCATATAAATCCTTTCTCAATAGATTTCGAGAAAAACAATACATCTGACTTAAATTCGATAATGTACTTAAATTCAAAACCTGACTTAAATTCGAATCCAGCAATATTCTAATAAAGAGAGTTCAGTAAAATCACAAAGGAAATCCACTTTGACCCAAATCATATTTTATTGGAGTTGATATACATACACAGGGCTCTTTATATTATATTTGATGACACCATAACCAACTGTACAATATAAATGACTTCAGGCATATTTATACATACTTCCATCCAAAACTTATATCCCAAAGTACATACATGAAATATGGATTTATGTTGTCTTATCTGAAAAAAGTTTATCGTAATTTTTTACAAGATATTAAGTTAGAACAGTCAAATCCATATTTACAGACATGTACACATAGTATGTATACAATTTTTTCAAAAATTCCTTGTAAAAAACTGTCCTGATGGGAGTTTATGCCTCCTTGTTTATTTTATGTTTACTCTAACATTATGTTATATTTATATCGCGTTGATCTATAGATATGTGTTTGCATAATTTTTTAGGACTCAATAAAGCTTTTTAAAATATTTTTTGGGAAAGCTTTAATTTTATAAAATATTTCGTTTCTTTGTAGCATGTCTACTAAATCAAAACGAGTTGCTGATTAACAGAAATGAACAAATCGCTAAGTATATTTAAGGCTTTCAGTGTGTAACAAGTGTTTATGATAATTAAAAAGAGAAGGAACAAAGGAAAAAACTATATGAAAAATAAAAAAAAATATATGTATATAAAAATTAAAAAATTTATCCTTGCAATATCCTTTTCTTTTTGTTTTTGAAAACAATTACCTATATAAAAAAAAAATAAATTTGCTTGTTTCCAAAGTAGTTGGTTTTTTTTTTATAAAAAAACAAAATTTGATGCGAAAAGATGAAATTTATTTAATATTTCCTAAAATTACAGCTTGTGAAAATTATCAAAATTTTGTAAATCTTAGATGTATCTATGTATGTATATGCAATGGTTAAAATTTGGTTTGTGTAGTGTTAAGCCATTATTGTTGATTAAGAAATAAAAAAAAATGGAAAGAGATTATTGAAATGCGTCAATCGAAATAAAAGAAAATTGAATTAAGAATGCTTTTCAACCGTATGCATACACATATACATATACATATAAAATTATCTACATACATTTAATGTGAATAGTTACTGTTTGTTTTTTTGAAATTATTAAAATACATACATACATATTATGTATTATATTATGTATGTATATTAAAATTAAATCAAGAAATTCAAAAGAATAAATGAAAAAGTTTAAAAAACTGTTCCTTACGTACTTATTGTGTATCTACATATGTATGTAAATCAATGTGCTTCATGAAAATTCAACCATTCCCATCATTAATAACAAAACAACAAAAAAGGAATAAATTATATACATATATTATGTATGCATAAAATCTGTTAATCGTACTATGTAGGTGGGATATACATTGTGCAAAGTTTATTATAATGTCGGAAAATGTTGACACCGAATTATTAATTAATTGTACAATATTGGCTGTGAACCGATTCACTTTAACAGAAGTGATAAATGCAACAAATTTAAATAGTTTTAATAGGTCTGACATAGTCCATTTGTTATCGAGTATTATTGAAAATGAAGATGAAATATCAGGAGATATTAGTGCAGCAAGGTAAAAAAAAATTATTTTTTAGTTTTGCATAAACTATTTTGCATTTTATTGTTTTTGTTTAGTATCTTAGTGCATACCACTGCGCAATAAAATATACGATTTCATAATATTGATTTGAAAGTGAACAAAAAGTGAGTAAAAAAAGCGAGTTACACGATTAGCCTGTTAATTCAAATATGTACAAATATATCTTATTCTGTTATTTAGAGAAAATAACTCGGATTCCTCTTTTCCATGTAGAAACTTATATAATAATTATCATTGTTTGCCGTCAATTGCTAATGTTAAAAATAAACTGCTTAATTGAACACAATCAAATTTAGCTCCTTTGATTGGAACTTAGATAGGTCTCCAAGGTTTTATATTATTTTTACATATATATCGAAAAGTCTTTAATTTTACTAGAACAAAATTCAACTTGTTACCTAGCAAACCGAAAACGAAAAACGACATTACCAATGCTTTTTTCAGTTCGCCGCTTTTTTGGTGCTATGAATTTCATTGTCATTAATCGTCCTTTTACCTAAACTTACACCCTTATGTTTTTCAAAATTAATTATCTTATAACAAATAGGATTCAATCTTTGAAATAAGCTAGTAATTATTTTGAGATTTTTCCTAAATTTATATAAACTTTTTCATATGGCAATATTGCATAACAGTTAATAATACAATTAATTAAGCTAAATTTTGCAAAAATAAATTCAATTATAAAATCAGATTAAAAACGTGTGATTGCAGTTACAATGGATTAATTAATACTTTCTTAATTCAAAGCTTTCGTAAATTGTTGACGAAACGTAAAAAATTTAAATATATTTTGTTTTCACCTACAAGATTGAAGACGTAATGTCGATGTGCTTTGATTTAGTATAATTCAACGCATTGTCCAAACATATAATTGAGCTCGGTAATCGTAAAATCATTTAATTAACTCATTGATAACATCAATACAATTCAAATTATTTAACAAGTTTCTGAAACTATTTATTCCTTTCGCTTCATCCCATACAAAAACAATTTAGTTTCCATTCTTCATAAACCTATACAGAACTTTGTTTTACATACATATGTATATATGTACTTCCAACAGATAGGTGAACTATTTAAAAAAATTGCATAATATTTTTATTAGAAAATTTTTATGTTTTCCTGTAGCACGTCTATCTTTTTAATGTATGCTTTGTATTGAGTGTCAATTATTCAATATTAAGTTTCATACATACATATAATATGATGTTGAATAAATTCCATATATTATATAAGTATTGATACAGCATATTTCACAGTTCATAAGTTATTCATAAGTTAGTTAAAACTAATTCAATTTGTTTTATGTACCTAATGGTTCCACAATGCCAATTCCGTTAATTTTTATTGTCAGTATCTCTTAAAATAAGAGTGGTATTATAATTAGTATACATACTTACAACAGTGAACATACAAGTAAGAGATTTTGTTACAGTTCACCATATAAATTTTTTTGTGAACAAGTTATTTAAATCCATTAGGAAATTGAATTGCACTTTTTAAAGTATATAAACGTATATACAGCTTAATCAATTTCAAATAAATTTTGTATGATTTTATACATATGTACATACATATGTATGTATATATATAATGTACGTAATTTGTCAACTTTAACATTAACTTTTCGATTGCCTCACATTCCAATTATTATTAATATTGATATTATTCATTTCATAAAATACTTCATTTTACGTTTCAGACTCTCATGAGGTTATTTTTAGGGCACAACAATCGTCTGTCTGGTATTGTGGTTTTTAATATTCGTGCAGTCTTAAACAAATATGTACATGAGCAATAACTGTTTTAACTTTATGAATACATATAAATTTATAAATAAGAAAGTATACGACATGATTGATAATGAGGCGGCCGCATCAGACTATTTTAGCTAACGAATTTCAATTGACGTAATATAACAAAAATTTTAAGTGTTACGTGACTCATCCAGGGGCGGTTTACCTATAACAAAAAATCACCAATAAAAAATTTTCCTATAAAAAGTGATTTATAAATCTGTGTAACACAATTACTAAAATGATTATTATATTTACATGACAAGAATTACTCAAAATTGGACAAACAATCTTACGTTATGTCTAAAATAATGCGGTACGCGAGCTCTATATGTATAAAAAACTGTATAGAATACATATAATTCTGTATAGAATATAAAATCGCGTCATGCTTTTGGTTCAATCACTATTCGTTTGAATTGGAAATTTAAACTCAAAAGCGGTTGCCACACGTTTTGGTGGCAATTCAGAAAGGCTTCACACATCAATCTTTACAATAGTTTGTAACAGTAGGTACAAATATTGCGCGTACAATTTGAGGAAAGTAAGACTTCAAATTTTAGTTACAATTTACGCTTGTAAAGTTTTAAGTATAAATTTTTTAGTCAACCCTATTCACTATTAGCGCTAACTGATGAAATATGATAAATAAAAGTATAAAAAAGTATAAAAATAAAAGTATAAAAAATAACAATAACTATGGTTAAATTAAAATTAATTAAATATTCTATTACTTCAATTGTTATATGGATATGTATTTTTCTTTAGAGTTAAAGTGTATGAAAGTGATATTACTACATAGGGTTATATTGCAACCACGATTTTATGAACATTTCGAATATTATAGCAAAGAATGTATATTTATATACATTCATCATACATTATACATCATACATTTATATGATATTATAAATATACATTCTTTGATTATAGCATTCAAATTTTGCATTAACGAGTTCGGTAACAGCACCAAGTACGAAATTGTTTTAGCACACCATCTAAGGTTTTTGGAAATACAATGTTTAACAATTTTAGTAATTAATTAATATTTTAATTAAATAATTTTAATTAAATAACATATATAGCGACATTATTGTCAGAACGAAATTATTTTTCTAATTTTAGTTTTATTTAGGCAGTTCGAATGTTAATAGCACTCATTAAAATTATTTCAGAAAGTTGATTAAACGTAAGAATCTTTAAATTTAATTAATATTGATTAATTCTTCTTAAATACTTTTGAATTAAAAAACGTTTTTAATATTATAAAGTACACGCACAAATTTTACTGATATATAAGTATAAGATAAGTATAAATTAATGCAAATATATTCATAGCTATTTTTAGTTCGCGGAAAATATTGTAACAGCAGTGAAAAGAGGCAAAAAAGACTCTGGAAAAGTCTGTTGTTTTTATTTCAACCGGTCTAAATTTGAAACAATTTCGCATTTTCTACATTTTGATTGTGTATTACATTTTTACTTGTGAAAATTACATAAAATTAAATGTTATTTACAATAACCGACATTACATTATCGTCGGCGGACCCTTATTGGCTCCATATTCGATAGAACTTTTTTATATTCTACATATTACATAAAAGTACATATGCATAAATTTATCACTAATATTAATAAAGTTTATATGTAGTACACTGCTACACCATTAACGTCTTTAATTAATAAATATTGATTATGTTAAATAATTTTCGTATGCAATTCTAAAAAAAAACAAAACCTTACTCTGAAAAATAATTTTGTTTCGGCAATAATATCAAAACGTATAGGATTCATGCTAATAAGAACATACAATCATTGTACATAACCATTGTATTTGCAGGTACCTAAGAAAGTACATACATAATATGTTAAATTAATTTTAACACACTTTCTTAGGTACCTGCACCTAATAGGGTACAAAGTATAATAAGGCATTAACCAACACGTTTATGCAAAATTTGGCAAAGAGTGTTCTATTTAGTCCAATTTGAATAAAATTTGAACTTAAACAAAGATGTTAAAAATTTTTAATGTCTTTGATTTAAACTAATCAAAATTTAACCAATTTTTCATTCTTTATGTAGTAAAAATTACATTCTGATTAGTGCAAACCATTTTTAGACAGGTCGAAATCATAAAGAAGGGTTTTAAAACACAATGAATTACAAACAATTTAAACAAGTGACGTATTCCATTTATTTTAATTCATTTTGAAAAAATTAGGCCATAATTACATTTGATAAAAATATCGCAGGTACTTACACTTGTTACGCACTATGCTCGACAATTTTTCTGAAAGTTTATTAAATTTTTTTGAAACTTATTCCAATTATATTTTTCAGGGATTTTCTAACAGAATGTATATTTCCTTCTCCGACGAGGCCATATGGTACGTATGTTCACATATTTATTCGACAGCTATTCTATATGAGAGACTTAAGTTGAATGCACTTCTTTACAATTTAAATAAAATTTTTTGTTTGATTTAAATATCAATAATTGAAATTAAACTTAATATCTGCAGAACATTTAAAAATGAAAACTAAGCAACTATTTAGTACCAAAATTTGTCTAATCTATAGTGAATAGCATTCTAAAATTTTAGGACTTGTATTAAATTTACATTCAAATTCTTTTAGAGTTACCATGGGAACAGAAGACAGTGTGGGGGGCAATTTTTGGATTAATGTTATTTGTTGCAATTGCAGGCAATTGTATAGTTTTATGGATTGTTTTAGGTATACTATTTATTTGCATAAGAAATTTGAATCATGTTATATAATAATATTTTTTAGGACATAGGAGCATGAGAACTGTTACAAATTATTTTTTATTAAATCTTAGTATAGCAGATTTGCTTATGTCTTCATTGAATTGTGTTTTTAATTTCATATTTATGTTGAATTCTGACTGGCCATTTGGATCACTTTATTGTACAATCAATAAGTACTTTTACTTCTTAAAACTTAATAATTTTATTGAAAATTTATTGTTTTTCAATTAGCTTTATGGCTAACGTAACTGTTTCAACTAGCGTCTTTACTTTAGTAGCGATTTCATTTGATAGGTTTGTATACATCTCGGCATCAATCGTGAATGTAACGGGAATTTTTTTATTTTAAATTTTTACTTAAAATTTTTGATTTCATTTGTGCAGGTACATTGCTATTGTACACCCACTTAAGCGTCGTATATCAAGGAAAAAGGCAAGATTCATCTTACTATTAATATGGATTTTGAGTTGCATTTTAGCTGCTCCATGCCTTTTGTATTCCTCAACAATGACAAAAAAGTAAGTACATATTATATATACGTATACAAAAATTACCAAATTAAAAAATTAAAAAACATAGGAAAAACGAAATAATTTTAGATGGCAATCGTGTATGTATACATACGAGTACATTCGCGTATAATTATTATGAATATATGTATGTATTAAAAAAGACGATTGCATTGGAAAACGTTTCTATGAGCTTGACCTAAATAATTATTTTACGCTATGTATACACATGCGCAATGAGTTAAGTTGTTTAACAATAAAATTATAAAAAATGATACAATATATTTTCTAGAAGTTTCATTCAAAGGGTTAACATTTCCTAATTTTGGATTCCATGTACTAGATATATTTAATAACGATAATACAAATCAAACACTTTTATCACAAATAATTTTTTTTATATTTTATTGCATATATATTTTATTTATTTATTTATTTTTTTATTTATTTATTTATTTCTCTGAAGAGCAAGGTCTGCTCGTATAGAGTGTACAATGTTTAATTACATAACATACCATTATTTTTGTATAAAATTACATAATAAATAAGTTAAATTTAAAATTAAGAACAAATGGCAAAAAAAAAAAAAATTAAAATAAAAAAATAAATTAAGTATTACAAAATGTTTGTTTTTCTATAGAGATACATGTAGTAAGTACAGAAGAAAAATTCTATAAAAGTTGTAAATAGTTATTAAATAATAAGAAAAAGAATAAGAAACCTTCAATTGATTAGAAAATTAACGGATTACAAAATTTAGATTTAGTTTTTACCATTTTGGGATGTTAGTTGCATTATTAACCAAGATGAGTTATTAGTTGTACGATTTTAAATGATATTTGAATGATTTATTTTTTATTGTTTTCATCCACGTAGGAATTTTATTGTATTCTGATATAGCAGCATTATATATTTTACTGGATCCACCCTTGTCTGTTCTGTAATTTGTAGCAGTTCTTGTTGCATAGCTGTGGATCTGGGTTCCTTGTGTAAAAAGAGTGTTTGTTAAGATGTGTTTTTGTAAAATATTTTGTATATATTCAATTTGTAGCAGTTTTAGTTGACGATTGACATGAATCAGATTAAGCTTTTCATATAGTTGGTCAGATGATGTTCTTAATGGTAATTCATATAAATTTTTGATAGCTTTGTTTTGCAATACTCTTATTTTGTCTAAGTTTTTTTTCGACCCAGGTCCTCAAATAATGATTCCATAAGTTATAACGCTATGAAACATACTATAGTAGATTAGCCTTTTTAAATTGTCAGGTATGATTGAAGATAGTTTTTTAAAAATAAAAGCTATTTTCCTGCATTTTTTACTGAGTTCGTCTACGTGTCAATTTTGTTATATTTGTTGACGTTATTGTTATATTTTATATTAAGCCTTTCGTTGTCATTTGTGTTAAATATCATGTACTTTGTTTTAGCAGTATTTATTGTCAATTTGTAGCGATTCATAAGTTCAAGAATTTTTTTATTATCACAGTTAATTTTATTTTGCATATCGTCATAATTGTCGTCAGCGTATACAACAGCTAAATCATCAGCATACATATATATTTTACCATTAAGGACAGTGTTGGCGATTTGATTTATGTAACACAGAAATAGTGTTGGCGCCAGAGAGCTCCCCTGAACAACACCATAGCCTATATCTTCAACTTTACTTTGTAGATTTCCGTTTTCTGTGTATTGTTTCCTGTTTTCGAGGTAGCTTACAAACCACTTAAATTCGGTTCCAGTTACTCCTAAACTGCGTAATACTTTCAATAGAATATTTTGATCCACTGAGTCAAAAGCTTTTGCCAGATCGAAGAATGCTATGACTACTTTCTTTTTGGCGTTCAGCTCTTTTTCAATATGAGTTATAAGATCAAATAACGCAGAAGTTGTGCTAGATTTCTTTTTAAAGCCGTATTGCCTTTTACTTATTATATCATACTTCTCTAAATAGTTATATATCTGAGTATTGACCAAAGTTTCAATTATTTTTGAGGTTATAGATGAAAGTGATATCGGTCTATAATTTGTAATATTATTTTCGTCACCATCCTTATATATAGGGACAACCTTACTAATTTTAAGACAGTTTGGAAATGTACCAGTTTGAAAAGAAGTGTTTATAAGTGACGTTAGGAATGGAGAAATTTCTTTCTGAGTTTCTTTGAATATATTCACTTGAAAATTGTCATATCCTACTGACTTAGTTTGCTTTAAATTTCGTATGCAATTTTGCACTTCAGATAAACTGATTACATTAAAGTAAAATTTACTTGTTACTTGTATTTTTAAATAGAATACCTCATGTTGAATTACTTTTGCTAATTTTTTACCTATGTTACAATAATAGTTGTTGAATTCATTTAATTTTTCGATTTTGTCATTATTGGAATCGTTTTCCTTGTAAAATTTTTTGGTATTAAATTTTCTAAAGCATATTATGTCTTTGATGTTATTCCATGTCATTCTAGGGTAATTTTTGCATTTTTTAAATTTATTTTCATAATAATTTCGTTTTTTTGTTCTTTTTAAATGAGTTAGTTTATTAAACCAATATTTATATTTTGTCAGAATTTCTATATTACCTGCACTGTTAACATACTTTGAATACCAATAATATGATTATGATAATTTGAATATGAGATGAAAAATTATGAAAAAGTTATTAGCTTTTTTAATCTTATGAAATATCATTAGCAAAAAATATTCTCCTTTTTTTACCGTTAAAAATAAAACAATTTGTATTTTGTCTCTAGATATTATAATGGAAAATCGAGAACAGTTTGTTTTATGATGTGGCCAGATGGTCGTTATCCTACATCAATTTCAGATTATGTGTAATTAAAAGTTATTAATATACATAAGTAACAAATTAATAAAAACTTTTTTTTTTAAGATATAATTTGGTTATTTTAATTTTAACATATGGTATACCAATGTTAGTCATGCTAGTTTGCTATTTTTTAATGGGACGCGTACTTTGGGGTAGTAGATCAATAGGAGAAAATACTGAAAGACAAATTGAGTCAATGAAATCTAAAAAAAAGGTCGTCAGAATGTTTATTGCAATTGTTTCAATATTTGCTATTTGTTGGCTTCCTTATCACATGTTCTTCATATATTCATATCACTATAATGACGTAGCACAAACAAGATATGTGCAGCATATGTATTTAGGTAAAAAATTTTTTAAAATGTTATGTTAAAAAATATTAATCATATCAAGAACTTTTATATATTATACAGGATTTTATTGGTTGGCCATGTCTAATGCGATGGTTAATCCAATAATTTATTATTGGATGAATAAAAGGTAACTTAATAAATAATAATTAGTTTTAAAAAATACATTATATTATATTTTAGTAATTTTAAATTTTTTCTAAAATCGTTCGCGCTTTTTTTAAAATCTATTTAATTAATTACATTTTTTTTAATTAAACCATCATCAAAAGCAATGATGGCTTTGAAAATTATATTGTGCAAGCAAGTATTCTAGTAGAATATGCGAATACTTTAAGTTCTGTTGAATAACTCCCATTTAAATTAAAAATGTTAAATTAGCTTGCACTGTAATGTTATTGTTTCTCAATAAATGTAATGAAGGTAATGTTTTCTATAAAAGCTTGTTAAACAACATTCGTCAAATTGTTATAGGAATTTGTCAATATTTTGTTTGGAACGATAGGATCCACGAATATCAAACGATCCCTCTTTACCGTTTTATTTGGTTAGATTTTTTCTATTGGACCATTTAATGAAGACGATAAATAAATCTCAGTCACAATTTTAATGTCCACTTTTTTTTTTAGGTTTCGCCTATATTTTCAAAAAATAGTTTGTTTTATATGCATTAGAAAATCTTCAATCAAAACAGAATCCCCCAGCATTATACTTAAAAACAAGGGATATTTAAGAAAAAAGGATGAAAGTACATTAACTGATTCATAATTTACATTTAAAAATTTCTTTATGAAAGGAATTAATATTTTCCAGGTCAGTTACTTAAATGGAAAAGAAGCACGATGGAAACACAAGTTCAGCCCAATAATGCAATTCAACCTGTATGTGGTGGCGAATTTATAAATAACGTTAAAAAAGACTTGTGTATCAAGCAAAATTCAGGGTCATCATTAAAACTGCAACATGTAATACAAGAAAATTCAATTGAGAAAAAAACATTAAATTGTGATAACGACAATAATGCTCAAAAGAACTGCGATGCTGAACTCTAGGGAGCTATTGAATATGTGTATAAACTTTGAAGTGAAGTCTATATTAAAAAAAATGTTTAGATATGCATAACAAGTGAGACAACGCTGTTAAAAATAGGCTTCAGCTACAACGAAACAAAAGAACAAATATATTATAATTTGGCTAATTAAAAACATTGTAAATACATATGTATGTACGTTAGGGATAAACCGAATGAAACTAAGTTTAGTGAATTGACTTTGTTTATAGTTATTCATATACATACATACATATTTATGTAAAATACATAATGTTTCTTATGTTATATTAAAGTTAAAGGTTTGTATATTACATTAAACTTTTTAATATTAAAATAAAATAGAATAGTTATTTAATTACCGTTCGGCTCAAAAGAAAAATAAAAATTAAATTGTTTTAAGAATACATTATGTACCTACATAATGCATGTATATCTTATACATACTGTACTTTAACTACAATTGTATACTTAGTCGTATTGCAGTTATGTAGGTAGTCATATGTGTATGTACATACATACATATATAAAATTAAAAGTACCTTTTTCTTTTTTAAATTATTTTTTTATTCTACATTGTGAAATATTTACCTATAGTATAATTACCTATATGCAGTTCCCTGCTTGTTGACCACATCAAGGGTAACTCTTGAACGTATTTTATGTAACTGTTATCTATATTTTAATAGAAAAAAAGCGCAAATAAAACACATTTTGCTATTTTCCCAGCATCATATAATAATTGTTTTGCTCAAAAACCAAACCCAAAGGAAACTAGACTTCCACTAAAAGGAACACGCATTATGACTTATGTTGCGGAACAGAATTGACCTATTAACTTTTCAATAATATGCAAATTAAGTCGTCTAAAAATTTGAAATACTTATTTTATTAGAAGTTTTGAATATGAATATTTTTCTCAAGAAATGCACATACATGTGTACATATGTATGTATATAAATTTCCCTTGTAGCAAATCATAGACTCCTATAATGTACCTCCTATAAAGATGGCTGTGATTTATTTTTGGGTGAAATAAATTTGCCGAAGTAATATACTGTATGTTATATTTGTGTATGTATATATGGATATTTAAGATAGTAAACTTATATTTATAACAAATGCATAACTATTTACATTTATAAGAATTTGAAAAAAAAATCTTTAACCTCTTTTTTAGTTATTAGCTCTACGTATTGATTGAAATATGTATACATATGTACAATACATATATTTTTCAAAATACAAAATTCAAAAAAATGTAGAAACTAAATAGATGTTAGTCAATAAACACGGCGTGGACAAGATTACATGTTATTTTAATAAATATAAATACATTAAGTCTGCATTTATAGTTTTCCTTTTTTAGTTTATAAACGCTTAATATGTAATACATTGGTACATTCATAAATTTTTACATATGTATGAATGTTCATGGATGTAGGTACATAAATTAAAACTGTTAGTGAACATTTTTATTTACTTTTTAAACAGTAGATAGAACAAACAATGATTTTTATATATGACTGTTTCATCACGTATTTGCTTAACATCCGACAAAAACAAAAAGCTCATATATGTATGTACATTTAATCAAGCTTAAATTTTTATGATTTATTTGCTTGATTGTTTCGTTAAAACGTTAAATAATGTCTTCGAATTGAAATAGAAATTTTGCAAATTCATAAAACAAAAAAAATTAGTTTCCTAATAAAAAAAAGAAATTTTTAAATGCAATATACACATATATACTTAATTTAACCCGTCAGTATAGTGAGAAATTAAAACTTAATTGCTGAACAAATTAAAATTCATGTAAAATTAAAATTTTTGCTAGTAATCAAACGTTAAATTTTGCCTAACTATCGTGAAAAGTTGGCTACCAATGTATGATTACGAGGCGAATACAAATTCCAATCAATTTAAGCATTTTCCAATGATTAAACTTTTATTTATCTGAAAAGTGTTTGAAAATATCTCAGCACTACGAACAAAACTTTCGCAAAGAATTTTCGTAACAAAATTTTTTTTTATCTATGCATGTACATATATGAAAATTTTGTTATTAGGTTTCTAATAAAAAAAATATATCAAAGTATATTTGTACATATAATATTTACATGAATAATATACTTTGTTTATTAAAATTATTTCTGGGATGATATATACACTTATAATACATATTTTTATATGTAAGAAAAGAAAAGCTCCAATTTCTTTTTCATCAAACTTAATTTAAATTTTGATTACAAGCAAAACTAGTCCGTTTCAATAAATCGTGCATATCGCATCTTAGGAACGATTTAGCAAAAATGTTAAAAATACGCTTTACACTTTTAGTTTTATATTAATCGAATTAACCGCGATTTAGCTGCAAAAGTGTACAAAAATCTAATACAATGACTGAATTAAAGAATGTAAAACCAGAAAACGGTATGTAATCATAAATAATTTTTAAATTGGTAAAATATTTCGATTATTTCGGCTTTTTTCAATCTTTTGTCATTTGTTGTTCAAATCGTTGAATGAAGAAGTTGTAAAATTGATATACTGAAAAAAACCAAATGCATTTGTGGTTTTTGTAAAAGGAATATTTTTGTATGTTATCCATACTCTCATTTATAATAAGGTATTTCAATTCTGCCGCCATTTGCATTTATAGTTTCCCATAATGTGCACCTAAAAGTTCTAGAATTCATTTTATCTATATATAGAGCGCCATTTAAATGGTCCATTTCATGTTGGGCGATTCTGGCATTCCATCCTTTTAAATTCACATTTTGCTTTTCACCTTTGATATCAAATCCACTTAAAATAATTTCTTCATATCTATCGACTTCACCTGTAAAGCCTTTTACACTTGCACATCCTTCCTCAAAACTTATCTTGTTATAATTTGTAATTTTCATTTCTGGATTAATAAAAACCTAAAAATACATATGTATGTATGTATATATATGCGCTTTCAATAATAAATTTAAAATGTACAATTAAAATTAAAAAAAAAAAAACCTTTAAAGGAAAGTTTTGCATTTGTTTTGATGAATGTAAAACGCTAGATATCTGATCTTTAGGTTTCTCGGAAAATTCCATTACCATTATTCGCAAACTTATACCTATTTGTGGTGCAGCAATTCCAACTAGTTGATATTTTCTCAAAACTTTAATCATTTGATCTATCAATAATTTTACTTCATTAGTTTGAAGGCTATCTTCTGGGACAGAGCTTGCACGTTTTCTAAGTATCGGATCCCCAATTTGTGTAATGTGATTAAATGGTGGTTCCGATAGTTTTGGTTCCGTAAAATTTTTTATTATATAAGCAATTCTATTTAAAAAGTTCCGGTTGTGTAGTTTAAAATTTATCGACATATTTTGCAGTAATAGTTTGTTTTTAAATGAATGTAACAGCATTTTTTTTCTTTCGTGGAAAATTTTTAAAAATTTTGAAATATGGATTCTATCTATTGCTTTTGCTATTTCTTTTTGCTATTTATTTAATTGCGTTAGTTGATAACTTTGGAAACACGGTTTTATATTTTACTCATTTTTTTACATGCAGCTGACTTTAAACGTCACATAAATTGTAAGTTCGTTCAAGCCATCACTTTGACATATAAATGTTCAATCAACTTCGTAAACGTTTTTTTTATCAATTTTAATCTTGACATTACAAAAAATCATTTCTTTCAGCTGTAATTTCAATTTTCGGATGTAATATTGACTAAAAACATGTAAAAATTTTTAAAACATTTAAAATTAACAAAATTTAAAAATTGTAAACAAAATTTTTCAAATATTTAGTTTCCGAAACAAACTTTTAAATTTATGGGCTCAATATCTGTTACGTGTAATAATTGTCCTTACCAAAGAACTAATTTTGTGTTCGTAGCAAACAACAGCGTAAACACCTGTCTTAGGTCTGTCTAGTATAAAACTTAAAAAAATTTAAAAAGAGAAAACAGTGACATCAATTTTCGCGAGTCCCGGACACTTAGTCCGTTTTTGGTCGATAAGTTGATGGAAAAATTTCCAGAACCTAATATTTGATAATCAATAAAACGATTGACAGTCACTTCCCAAAAAAAAAGGTTCAATCATACAAATTGAAAGTTCAATTTGTATGATTGAAGTTGAACGTTTAATTTGTTTGATTGAAGCTCAAAGTGGATTATATGATGTTGCAGATGTCCAAATTGAGGGTATTGTATGATTAGATGAATTTTTATGATTTTGATGATATTGAAATTTTAATGTTAGTATTAACTGCATGTGATGAACGGTATATCAATGTATGTATGTGTTTAAATTTAAATATTTGTTGTTGCTAACTTAGCTGTTTGTTTTTACAATAGGGAAAAAAAATTAATTTTGAAAAACGCCTGTGGATGAACATAGATATATGTAAGTATGTCCAAAATATGTATGTCCTATGGATGAAGTATGAACTATGCCTTTTTTTTTTAAAGTATAGTAGTTTAAAATTTTATTAAATTATTTTGTTATGTATCTAATGTAGATTCATGAATAATTGCATATATTTTTATGATAATCATTTGTTCACTCCTAGGAGGAGCATAAAGCTGGTGCATGATACTATGCACTAGTTTTACATCGTCGTACAGTTTTAACTAGGACTAGCCTGCCGCAGGTTTTTCTTTATATTAAGTATTTAAGTTTATTAATATTTTTTCTTAAATATTAAAAATATCGAATATTATGAATATATGAAAATTATTTGTATTTGTATTGTATGTTAAGTTATAAATATTGAATGTAGTTTTATAATGACCTGACCGGGTTTTGAACCCGAGATCCTTCGGTTACAGGACCGGTGCCATAATCATTGTCACCAACGGTCAGGTATATGCTTGTTATAATTATAATTTTTATAATAAAATTATTTATTATTAATATATAATATTTATTATTAATATAATTATGAGTTTTATATTTAATGTGTTAAAATTTTTGTTGTAACTTATTTAAAGTTCTTTTTCAATAAAGTATATTAAAATTTTAGTTTCAATAAAAACTTTAAACATATTGTTCAATAGGAGTCACCAACATGGCTTCTGCTGTATTAGGGCAAGAAGACCATTTTATTTTATTCATTTAAAAATTACAACTTGAGGTTTAGTTAAGATGTTCTTTATTATTATTCTTATTTTATATATAATTATTATTATATTCACTTAATTTATTTTATATACATATTTAATTTGCAGTACTTATAGTTTTTAATTTTTTGAAAATCAATTTCAACTTTACAATGACTACCTTCATATATTTCATATAGAAGTATATACAAATATAGAATTTCAAATCATTTATACATATTACAAAATTTTTCGAAATTAAAGTAAATCATATATGTATGTATGAATGTGTAAGTAAATTATTATGTAGGTAATTTGAATGTACAAAATATACATACATAATTAAGTAAAGTTTAACAGCATATGTAAAAATTTAAGAAAGTCTATGAAAGTTTTTGCAATAATTTAAACAAATTGGCTCAGGGGTGGAGAACCTTTTATGAGAAAGATCTCAACATACTTACTTACTCTTTGAATTTACTAATTTTGTATGATTTTTTATTCAAAGGTCCTAATGATGCGAATGAACCGGCGGATTTTGAAAAAGCGATTACTGAATCAGGATTTGGTTTATTCAACTTCATTTTAGTTGCCGCAGCTTTACCAAGTTGTTTTGCTACAGTGTATGAAACATCAACAATGTCATATATTTTACCATCTGCCGAATGTGATTTAAAATTAAGTCTTTTTGATAAAGGAGTCTTAAATGCAATTACTTATGCTGGTTGGTTCCTATTTTCAGTTATTTTTATTAGGTCTTAAAAGAAGCATAACTATATTGTACTAAAATAGGTATGATAAGTTCAGCCATATTTTGGGGGTATGCAGCAGATACATTTGGAAGAAAAAAATTACTCGCCCAAGGATTTTTATCAAACGTTATATGTGTCACAGGATGTGTTCTGGCTCAAAATATTTATGTGCTAATGTTTTTCAAGTATTTCGGCGGATTTATGTAAGTACATATAATATGTAAATGCATACATACTTAAACGGAAAATATGACAATGTATGGAAAAAGATTTTTTTTCTTAATGTAGAATTTGTGGACCCTTTGCAGTACTTATGTCATATGTCACTGAATTTCATGGAGTCAAATACAGATCCAGAATAATGATGGCAATGGGAATGTTTTTCACAATAGCGACATTCTTTTTACCCTTGATTGCGTGGGCGATTCTTCCACAATTTTGGAGATACGAATTCTTTGGTGGATATCTTGGTAGATTGATATTTTTCCTTAAAAATTCAATATACAGTAATACCCGGTGTCTCAAAAATAACATATTTGCACGCATTTTTCTGGGTAGGGCTGTTAACCAAACCCGTTTAATTGCGCAAACAAAAGCAACTATGCGCGGGGTTTTTGTAAACTTGAAAAGGCGCGTGAAAGTAATAAAATTAATAAATAATTACCCGCGAAGAAAATTTAAATTACTTGTAAAAAAATAATTTGATATTAAATGTGCAAACGTCATAAAAATTTTAAAAACATTAGTCTTTTTTTGAACTGTGTAGAGAGCAACAAAGCGATTATTTAATAGAAGCGCAAATAGAACAATTTGAGAAAAAAGCGATAAATGACGCGCTAAAACGATTTGTGTGTTTCAAAGAAAGGCATTTAACCGATATCTTTTTCGTTGCACTTAATAAAAAAGGTTCCGAAAAGCTGATTAATGTAAAGGGGAAACGCAATTAAGCGGAAAGCGACTAATGCTGGGGTATTACTGTACCGAAAAAAAAGTTACTATGTATATGTATATTCAATATTTGAATACAGTAATCAATAATTGGAGAATATTTCTTGCTGTGTGTGGCTTGCCAAATTTATTGGGGGGACTGGCCATGTTATATTTACCTGAGAGTCCTAAATTTTTAATGTCTCAAGGTCGCAATTCTGAAGCCCTAGAAGTTTTCAAATGGGTATATGCGTGTAACACTAGAAAATCAGCAGACGAATATCCAGTAATATTGATTAAAATATATAAAAATAAATAAAAACAAATGCGTATCATAAATGCATATACATACATACATCTAATTATATATTACAGATAAAAGAATTGACCCAGGAGGTTCCCCAAAAGATTGTTTTTGATAAATCTTCAACCAACGATGATATTAAATTAAAAATTTCAACATTAGCGGACAGTTTAATGGATGGTCTACGACAATTAAAGCCGATGTTTCAGAAACCATATCTAGGTCATACAATTCATGTGTACACCATTCAGTTTTTCATTTTAATGGGGTAACATTGATAAAATTTCTTTATAAGTGTATTTTCTAATTAAAAGTAAAAGAATGAAAGTTCTTTTTGCGATAAGATAAAAATCAAAAATTATAAGAATAAACAAAGAAAATCGAACGATAAAATTGTATTGTTCTTAATCGAACGAACGATAAAAATGCTTCATTTCTTAAAGCTTTTTAAATCGCACATTTTTACTTATGAAGGTTATTTAAGTAGATACAGTACTTAGATATTGTACTTAGATAAGTAGATATTGTACTTAGAATTTTCATCGGTTCGAATTTTTTAACCCTCATACGCCGCTCAAAAGTAATCACACATAATACGTTCATTAGTGGAAAATCATCCATTAACTTTTTACTTATAAATAACCATACTCATTTCATGTTGTTGAATTTTGTTTTTGTATTTTGTGTTTCTATTTTGAATTTTCTTTAATTAAATGTTCGTTGACATTTTTTTGTATTTTTTTTCTAAATGGTGAAATTTCATCTGAACAATTAAACTTTAAAACAAATTATGGTTAAACTTGCTCATAATACAAATATTCTAAATAGCATGTATGAGAAGTATTTACATATGTATGTATTTTGTCTCTACAGGCAAAATACTGTGCGGTTATGGCTTCCTCAACTATTCACATCAATTGCAAATTATATAGAAGCCAATGATAATTCTACGAATCCGGATGAAAATTCTAATTTATGTTCCATGCTTGAATATAATGTTAATCTAACAAACCAACATATTTCTGAAACAGAATTGACAACTTGCGAGGTTGTAAGTATATTTTCCATAAAATTAACATAGTATATGCTATTTGCATTCGAGTTTCACCCAACATAGCAGAAATGTAAATTTATAAGTTGAGATTTTCCTAATTTTACCAGTTTTTTTATTATGTATATAAAAGTTAAAATACATAATTTTAAGATTTAGTCTAAAAAATGAACACAGTAAAATGAAGAAAAATTTTAATTGGTGCAAAAGAATAGTGAAAAGTCATATTTATATACGAATACTCTTTCTCTATTGCGTTAAAAAGTAAATTATGTTTAACTTTGCAACGTAATTGAGATTGGTAATTTTATTAGAATATATTATAATCAAGATATTTCATTTTAGGAAAACGATACATACATACATATGTACATACATATCAAAATTTTTTCTTATATTTAATAACTCGGTAATAATGAAAAAATTTAATCATACGAGTACCATCTAAATTAGACAAATTTAATAGGGAATATTGCTAATTGCTTAGGTTGATAATTTTATAAATGAAATTTTACAATATTCAAGATTTAAATTACATGATATCAGAGGAGCAAAAAAACTTGTGGGCAATCTAATGTTAAATTTAAGTAGTTTTTTTTTAACATATCAAGCTTTCAAATTATTTGCATAAGATTTTAGCTAAGTCTATTAGAATTTCATTTAAATAATCTAACTGTTTCTACAATTTAAGAAAATATCTGATGAAATGTATGTCAATACTATGACGGTTGCTCTTTCGGGAATAGGAGGTTATTTAGTGGCTGGTGGGCTTATCAATGCAATGGGTCAGAAGTGGATATTAGGTACTTTACTATGATTACTTTTAAAAAAAAATATTTGTTACTTAAAATTACTTTTTAAAAAAAATAACATTTAAGTCTTTGGTCTATTAATATCGGGAAGTTCTGGTATAATATTATATTGGGCTAAAGATTCTTTGGCTACGCTAATTTTAACCGCAACGTATGTAACTGTTGGAAGTATTTCATCAACAGCTCTATTAGGAGTTACCGTCAGTTTGTTTCCAACATCGTTAAGGTAGATACATATACTTTGTAATTATAAGAAAAATAAAATTAAATATAATTTACTGTTTTAGAACGATGATTGTATCGTTAGCAATGATGTTTGGGAGATTGGGAGCGCTTATAGGAAATTTGTTATTCCCGATATTTATGACTCTCGGATGTATTCCACCATTTTTATTGGTTGGCAGTGTTATGTGGGGTAAGCTAATAATAAAGTGCGTTATATAAGTTCAAAAATTTACTTACTTAATTTCTTTTCAGTTGGGAGTTTTTTGTGCTTAATGTTACCACAAACTCATAAAAATGCTTTAAAATAAGTTCACTTGAAAATACAAATTGTAGTGAAAGGTGCGTGTGCTGATTTATTTGTATTATACCATTTGCGAAGCAATTAGAAAAAAATAAAATCAATTTTGTACTTAATATAAGTACTTACATATATGTTTATCCAAAATTTAAAGATGTAAATATTGCATGAGTGCATTATTTTGATATTTAAAATAAAATTTGTGAAATAAATAATATAATTTTGTACCACGTTCAAAGTTATTGCATGTATTTCCAATATTTCGCTCAAGTTTGGGTCTTATAATAAAGCACGTTGGATAAATTCAAACTGCAAAGTCTGCACAAACAGCATGTTAAAAATGAAAGTTCTTAAAAATCTAAAATAACTTTTTAAGTTTTCTGTATAGCTATTGCAGAAATCTTTTATATACATATTATGTAAATAACATACACAAATTGTAGCCAGATTTACGATAAAAAGAAATAACGTACTAGTCAGAAAATACTATTCTTTAAAAAAGAAAACAAACACTCTAGGCGTAATAGATTCTATGAATTATTTGTCTGCTATTATATTATTAACGATTTTTTGCTGCTAAGAAAATTGATATCGTTTACGGCCGAGGCTACAAATTCACAATTTTTAAACATTTCAAATAAGTAAGTACAGCGATCCGGTCCAAGTATTAAAGCTATCGGAAGGTGATTCGTTGGAGTTTTTTAGGAAAAAAAATTATATGAGTTGGAGGGGGAGCTCGGATATTTACTTGTAGTTTTGGAGGGTTGGATTGAAAAAAAATATTGCACTCTGTACGAGCAAGCAGATATCTTTTTAATAAATTTAATGAAATAAATAAAATAAAATAAATATCTTCTGCCCAAAAGAATATTCATTATAAATTTGATGCTGTTGAAGCTAGAGCAAAGAAACTTCTTTGTCAATTACATAAAATATGATCACTGATTGTAAAATATGATTTGCGTTCGAACAACTATTACTTGAAAACGGTAAGTCTGACACCCGTCATCTGTGTGCTGTTATGTAGGTCTGTCCATTCGATTTTTTCATGATATGATTGTATAGTAGCTTGATTTCAATACGAATGTATTCTTGCTTACCTTCATATTAAGCATACTATTCATAGACTCTATATATGTAGGTGCTAAAACAAAACGTTAAGATGTACAGACCTTTAGTATTTTTATAGTTTGTACTACAAAATTTAAGATCATTTCAAATCAACCATAATGACTATTGCTGGGCCGGTATGGATACAAATATGTATTTATAAATTGCGAGTTAACTGCTACCTGATTTTGTTTTAAATTTTTCACATTAAATTATTTATTTATTATTATACACATTCATTTCTTAATTTTGTTTCAATATTTTCAAACATATTTTAACTTAGTGCGATTCGCACTGGCTCCTTCTAGTATTTTAAATTAGAGGAGGAGTATAATTAAAAAATGTAGCATATCGAAGAATTACTCGAGTACATCACAAAACAAAAGGTAAAATGAACTAGGTCCTTTATTTATGACGCACTTGATTTACGAAGATTTGGATTAAGACGTCTTTGTTTTAAAATTTATGTACTAGCACAACGGCTTTTATTTGTAGTTATGTTAGTTAAAAATAAAAAAGATATAACCTTATGCTAATGTTGCCAATTATTTCACATGACATATTATTATTTTGCCATATACTTAACATAATAATGTTCATATACGTATGTTACATATGTATATATATAGCAAAATATTTTATATTTTGTAATATATTTACATATATTACTCGTATATTTATATGTATAAATTTTGTATAAAAGATATATTTATGTTTACGTATATGTGTATGTATACTTTTTAAAAATAAACCTCATTTAACGACGATTCGTTTAACGACGCAGTTTTTCGGAATGCATCGCCGTCGTAAATTTAGGACCTAGTGTATTCAGTTGCAGATTTGTATACATATACATATGTATGCACATCTATGTGAAAATTTTTAGCACTTTTCCAAAAATTTTTTGAAAAAAAGTGCTTATTAGTTTCACTCTGTCCGTCCGTCCGTCCGTCCGTCCGTCCGTCCGTCCGTCCGTCCGTCCGTCCGTCCGTCCGTCTGTCCGTGTGTCTGTTTACAAAACTTCTACATTCTTAAAGATAGAAAGCTGAAATTTAATACGTACATAGATCTTTACTAGAAACTTATTTTCGTAGAACAAAATTTTTACCTATCTCCCCCCCTCTAGAAGTTATACCCCCCCAAAGCACTAAAAATGGCCTATTTTAACTATTTGTTGCAATGAAACCATAAGCATTTTTGAAATTTCGCAAACGCAGAAGGGCAGTGACTTGCTTTCCCTACCGCGGTATACTATAGTTAAACTTTAGAAAAACAAAATGGCCGTTCAAATTTACCGTTATCTAAAGTCCTTTTTTTCCAAATTTTTCATGTCGTTTTTCTTCTAGACCCCAGCCTGTAGAAGCTTGAAATTTTAGGAGCTTTTAGACATTAACAAGTAGTTCATTTCGTTAAAAGAAAATTTTTTTCCATCTCCACCCCCTCTCAAGTTATGGCCTCTTGAAATTTGTGAAATATGCATTTTTGACACCTTATATTTCTGAAACCGCAAGCTTTTTCAAATTTCTATAAACATAAAAAGCTAACGGTAAATTCCATGAAATTAAAAAATATAATTATTTTTCTTAACTCACATAATTAAACCTTAAAATCGAGCATTATGTTAACCCCTTTTTATATTAATTTTTGCTTTATTTCAAACACTGCATATATGCGTCATCCTAAATATATGCAATCCTAGAAATAGTTTCGTTTATAAATGAAAATAATTTTAATAGATATGGTGGATATACATAGACTGTTTTTAAAAGCAGTATTTTCACTTGTTTAAGGGAAAAGTGCTACAATACAAACCATTGGTTTGACCCAACTTTATTTTTGGATCTAATTTAGAACTTTCGGTGCATGTCTGCATTATCGAAAATACCCAATTATATTTATACAGACCTACATTCATATTATAATTTCATAATTTTTTCCTTTTTTTTATTAAGAATAGCTATGTAAGAATAGCTAAAAATACATAGGTATGTGTATACTTATTTACCAAACTTACAGAGTAAATCAATAATAATTTCCAAACTTGTATGAAAATGAACAAGAGTTGCTGGAAATTTATTTAATAATAATTGATTAATATTTTAAACTCTGTTAATTCTACTTAATATTATTTGAATATTTTACATACAAATTTAAAAAGAAATGGCTGGTAAATTTGCTTGGAAAATGCATTCGAAAAACTAATTGCAAATTTAAACGCATCAGACCTTTTCTATCTTCCAAGTGAAAGGGGACAAAATTTTTAATTTAAAAAAATATCAAAGCAACCATTTTAATCATTTTTTTTTTCTAAATACTAAAAATAAAAAAATTAATAATATTCCTAGAAGGCTATTAAAAACATTAAATAAAAAAGAATTCTCAAAAATTTAACAAAAAATACATACATATGTCAGTCGTAATACGAGTACAAATATAAAACATTAGGTATTGTTTTAAGCATTTTTCCAAAAAATTTTTGAAAAAAGGTGCTATATCCATAACACCATAATATCCTTAATACCATAAACATATATGTATGTACATAATGTAAACATATGCCATTGTTTTAAAAATCCAGAATATTTTAGAATATATCGTCGGTATTATGTAAGAGTCACGAAAATGTTTTTTTTTTTTTATGTTTTAAGAAAAACGCATTTAAAAATATATACAATAATATCAATTTGCAGATACGTGTAAAATTTACGACGTTATTTTTTTGAAAATACTTATATTAGAGTTACGTGGGCTTTTTTTGAAAATGTCAATTTGCAGATACGTGTAAAATTTACGGCGTTATTTTTTTTGAAAATACTTACATTAGAGTTACGTGGGCTTCTTATAAAGATAGTTTAGAATAAAGATTCTGAATTTTTCTGCATATATAACTCAAAATTCTCAAAAAAGAAGTTTCGTGACTCTTCCATAATACCGATGATATGTACGTACATATGTTCATGCATATGTATAAAATATGTGTGCAAAGCGATTATCAGCAAACATATGTAGTTCAGCAAACATAAATTTAAGAACAATTTTGAATTATACATATATTATGTATATACATAGATTCATATATTGTTGAGTAAAACTAACTTTTAAAATATTTTTTTTGGAGAAGTAAAGCTGACTGATCGGATTCGTTTTTCTTGAGATTATTCTTTGGTAAATTAATACATACATACATACGAGTATGTATAATTGCAAAAGTAGTTAGTGGACAAAAAAGTGGTCAGATATTAAATTATAAAGTCGAGTATTAATTTACTTAAGCGTGTATTTTGAGTCTTAAATAGAAGAAAAAAAATTAACATGTACCTGAAGTACCTAATCAATAGACATATCGGAATACAAATTTATATGTAAATGTCCATATCTATAGCAAACTTATTATAAAATTTCTCAATCATTTTGCCTTTCTTTCAATATTACGACTTTATCTAAGAAGTTGATATCAAAAAATTATCGGAAAAATTTTAGGTACTTAAAAATAATTTTTACTTTCGTCATATAACAAAGAAAATTATATCTAATTTAATTGTTTTACAATTAAAAATTGATATAAAATTTTCAAATGATAAGAAAAATTTTAAAAAATAATTTCAAATAATTACAATAAGTTTTTAGTAATTTTAAGACAATTTAATAATCAAAACGTGAAAAAGAATTGCCATATCAAAGTTAAAAATATATCAAAATTATAATTTAGTTTTGATTATATTAAGCTACATACAATGTTCAAGCATTTATTTAATTAAAAAGCAAAATTTGAAATATTTTTGTGTAAAAAATTTATGATAAATTATTGTGTTGTATATTATATAAATAATTAATAATTTGCGAAGTGTGCCAAACTCTTTTTGTCACTTTTGTTTTGGCACTTGATTTTATTTTGTACGGAAATCAATGATTGCATAAAATGTAGTTCGTAAATTATGATAAATGAAATAATACTTTGTAATATTTTAACTTCATTCAAAAATTTTTAGTTTGTTTTAAAAGTTTACGTATACAAAATAATAAAAAATGAATGTGATTTCTATAAAAATGGCAAAAATTTTCTTATTAAAAGGATTTATTACAATAATTTTATTAGGACACATTAAATCGCAAGGTAAATCA